TTCAATGCATCGAAGTCACAGGAACTTTCATTTCACGAGCCATTTGACGAACAGATCTCTCTCCGGGTTGCACCTTATTTTCTCGCGAACGTTCTTGATAACAGTCTTAACAGCCGAAGTTACAAGTCTTCCACGTCCCTTTCGATCCTGATTTGTTCCAAGAGACTTAAAACGTTTGCATGTTCGCAAAACAAGTTGTCGTGTCACTCCCAGTCGTTGACGGATCGACCGTGCCGGAAGACCTTTCTTGTGAAAAGAAATGATCAAGTCGCGAAAGCTGGAGGGCTTGGCCATTTTTAAAAAAGAACAAATTTTTTAAATATTATTAAATGAAAACAAGTTTAAAACAAGAAAAACTTAAAAAACAGTCAATAAATCGCTCGCGTTGGACAATTTAAATGCTTTTATCATGAGGGGTCGGGGTATCAGTAATTGTGGAACACTCTGTAGTCATGAAGCAGTTGTTAGGTATACAGTCATGGACAAAAGTCTTTTAACATTGGTTTTTAGAAGTTTGTTCTTTGTATATCTTGGTCCAAATCCGAGCAATTTGCAAACGGTTAAAAGATTTAAAGAGCTTATTATCTCTAATTTTAACATTACAAAAAGATGGATTTAACAATTTATCAGGTGTCACGAACTTTTTAATAAAACAAAAATTGGGCCAAAAATTGATGGACAAAAGTCTTTTAACATGTGAGAAAAACATTATGAAATCAATACTTAGTAGGTCCTCCGCGAGCCGCAATCACTGCTTGAATTTTCCTTGGCATGCTGTCAACCAGATCACGTAGAATTTGGGGTCCAAAAGTTGTCCAGACTTTTAAGTGAACCAATCTTATGATTTTGGTTTCATTTTGTAGATCTCAATAAGTGCAACAAAATGACACCAAAATCATAAAGATTGGCCAAACGATTGTGAAGTTTGTGAAGTCGAAATGGAAGGGGAAACTATTCGGATCAAAAGTGGAGCTTTGGTACTTCATCCGTCGAGTCTGGACAACTTTTGGACCCCAAATTCTACGTGATCTGGTTGACAGCATGCCAAGGAAAATTCAAGCAGTGATTGCGGCTCGCGGAGGACCTACTAAGTATTGATTTCATAATGTTTTTCTCACATGTTAAAAGACTTTTGTCCATCAATTTTTGGCCCAATTTTTGTTTTATTAAAAAGTTCGTGACACCTGATAAATTGTTAAATCCATCTTTTTGTAATGTTAAAATTAGAGATAATAAGCTCTTTAAATCTTTTAACCGTTTGCAAATTGCTCGGATTTGGACCAAGATATACAAAGAACAAACTTCTAAAAACCAATGTTAAAAGACTTTTGTCCATGACTGTATATCTCTGGTTGTATTCAGCTCAAAGAAAAACGCTCTGATTGTAAGGGCCAAAACATCAAAAACTGTCAAAAAAATGTGATCGGCAGAAAATATATCAACCATTTACCTTACCGAGAGAACCGAGCGTCTCAAGTACAGGGTCTCCCATATATAGCGTTGCGCTCTACCAAAAGGATTATTTTCTCAAAAACCAATGGAGTTGACAGTTTTTTCGTTTAGATAACCTGATATTTAGATAAACAATTTAAAATCTACGGACATTTTTCCACTAGATTCATGAGTTTGTGTCAAAATTTAAAAATTTATTCTTTTCATATAGGACTTTAAACGTGATTGCTGCTCTCGAAAAACTGAAGTTTGTCAAAAATGTGCCCATTTTTATTAGCCAAGATAAGCTCGCATTTGCCATAATGGAGCTCAAAAAGCACTACTTTTATAGTAATTAACTCTAAAAACGTATTAATGCAGAAAAAGGCGGCAAGAGACGATTTTTTTAGAAACCCTAAACTAGAATTTAACTGATTTTCAGCATCGTGCCGCATAGCATTTTTTGTACTGCTCGGCTAGGGTTGTCAAAGTCATTCAAAATGTTACGGTTCTTCTATTCTATGTAAAATTACCCGTAGATTTTATGACCAATTCTTGTTTTTCAGCTTAGTTTAATGTATTGTTTTAGAAAGTCCAAAAAAAGGTGCAGTAAGCGCAACACTATATATGGGACACCCTGTACAGGAGGCCCTTGAGTTAAGATGTTTGTGAGCGACTGTTTTTAACGTTCATGCAAACATTCACCCCAGATATCTCCGATTGTAATTTGACTGTAGCGAATGTGGTGTTGTATTGATGTCGTCGATTATAAGCCACAAGATATAAACGATTAGATTGTGTTATGGGAAAGTTGGCACGAGTAAATCAGGTTTACCAGCTGCTTCGAATTCCACATGATCTGAATTTTCTCCCACTGATCTGTGCAGAGTTCTGCTTTTAACTAGGGGTTGTCAAAATAAAATTCAGCCAATGATTAGCTAGTTGTTTTGGATCCATTGCAATTTAGCCCAATCGTATTGAAGTCAGCCTACTGTTCAGCGAAAAGCGAAAAATTTTTGAAACGGGAAATCTTCGGAGAGGTCGGTTTGGACAAAAATCAAAGAAGAACATGTTTAGGTTTTTGCATATTCAACAAAATTGGCTCTGGTTTGGGTTGTATTCGATCCATCAGTGATCTACACAATGGACACTGTCATTCCCGTCATCGTGCTATTTGGAGCTGACTCGGTGACTTTGGATTGACGAAAATGATCGAACAAACACTAACATGTGCATTACAACAACGAACACTTCGACACCACCACAATTGATGAAATGATGGAATTGTGGGAATAAAAGGTGACGAGTTTACAAGTAGCGTTAAGTTAAGAACTGTCTTAAATATGCTCCAGGATTCCCATCGAAATGATGTCTATAGTCTCGGATTGACAATGTGGGAAGTGATTGAGAGAAAGTGGGGACTTTAAAGCTAACATTTGCTAAACAAAAATCAATAAAAGATTCACATCTCGTGATAGAGTTGACAGTTACGCATCGAAAATCTCATCATCACTATTTATGGGTTGGGGAAAATGAAATAGCGCCTAACTTTAAAGACACTTTTAAAACTCCTAGTTGACTTTGCTAAATGGAACGCAATTAGTATCAGTAGAAAGGTTACTTGATTCTCTAGACAATGGCATTTGAAAGGAGACTCAAATAGCGCTCCAACTCAACAAAGTCCATTCTTTTCACAAAATCTCCAAACTGCCATCTAGAGAAAACGGTTGAAGGGATCTTCATGAAGATTTGGGAACTTATGTAATTGAGTGTACTCTATCTTTTCTTATGTAGACACCAAAGGAGGTCTATGTGGAAGAAACTGTTCAAACGATGAGTCGGACTTTTTGCCATTTTGACTAGCTTTGTTTGGGAGTCCAAAAACTCCAAGAACGAAAAGCTTTGTGGAATCTCTCAAAAGTCATTTTGTAGAGAAATAGTGGACCCTTTTGATCGTAGCCGTCGTAGCCGACCGGATAGGAGTCTTGTCTCCTAGTCGGGGGGTTAAGGGCTCGATCCCGGCGGCTAGAAAGTTTGGTTCTTTTCCCATTATTATGGGTTTTTTTCTTAACAACATTTGGGTAATAGGGGTAATTAGGGATAAAAATTTCCTCCGTTGAGTTGTAATTCATTATTCGTGTCGAATAAATATACTTTAAACAAACCTTTTTAGAGAAGGCTTTATGCGTGCAAAAAGCGTCTTTAAAGTTCGGCGCCATTTCATTCTTCCCAATCCAATAGGTAAAAATCTCAAAGTACGGTCTTTAAAAATATAAATTTTGAAAAAATAAAGTAATAAGAAGTAGTAATGCAACGCTAAAAGGTGGATCTCCTCAAGCCCCGATCGGCTATCGACTACAAGCTGCAGCAGAAGACGTGAAAGCACCCTGCACATCGGCGCGAAAATGCCTTTTCTATAGGATTAAATTTTCTCATTTCTTTTTTAAAAAATGTTATAACTTTTTGTAGAGTTGAGCAAATTTGATGACTTTTGCATCAAAATGTTCGTAAGAGTCTCTAGAATAAAACTTATCCCTTCGCTTTTGGTTCTAGACCCTCGTTGTCGAGTTACGAGCCCCAAACTGCAGGGTACCACAAAATTTCCCATACAAAATGACCAAAGAACCGCTAAAACTAAATTTGAAAAATTTCTGTCAGAGGGATTTGAAAGATTCCTTCAGATTCGGAATCAGCACAATTTTCCGCATCTAAAAAAGGTACTCCCAGAAAAATCCTATAGAAAACGCATTTTTGCCTTATTTCGCGCCGATGTGCGATGGCTTAATTGTTTTGATAAAAACATTGAGAATTTGAAAGAACAAAATTTCCTATCGTAAATACTGTAATAGTACCCCGCCCCCATAATGACGGTGCGGAGCATCGCATAGTCTAGCTTTGGACGAGTTTTTCTCGACACTGGTTTATGCTACAATGCTCGTTTCGGTATCAAAAAATAGCCCTGAATTTCAGCTATTTTTTGATATTAAAGACGCATTTTTTTGAAAGTACGGGCGCTTTGAAAAACAATGAAATACGAAAAAAACATTTGCGACTTTTGCGACTATGCGACTGTACGAGGGCGGTGGGGTACTATTACAGTATTTACGGTACGTTTATATCAGATATTTCTAAAAATAACTAAATTTACCTACCTAGCTAGATTATCTTGACACCCTAAAAGCAACCCTAAAAGGTTGATCTTCTCAAGCCCCGATCGGCTATCGATTACAGAAGACTACAGAAGACGCAGCAGAAGATGTGAAAGAGCTGTCACCTCTCTGCTTGGATTTTCTTTAATTATCATCATCAAAATTCTTTTAATATGATAAATTAATTGAAGGTCTTTGCGTGTATTTTTTAAATTAGTGTCATCATTAAAATTCTTTTACTATGATAAATTACAATGTTTAAAAAATACACCTACCATTTAAAAGCTATAAAATCTCTCTTGTAGACTGCAAAAGATTAAGTAGATGTCTTGTCAAGTGATCATTCCGTGAAAAAGTTCTTGTCGCTCTTGAAAATAAAATGCTCGAACATACAAAACATACAATATTTTCAGAAAAAAAATGAATTGTCGTCATTGTGGAGAGGTTAGACCTTTCAAAGAAATCTTCCTATGCAAAACTTGTGGGCACAAGGTAGTGAGTGATTTTAATGTATCAAACAAAGAAACGATTATTTTTAGTTGTGTGCCCCATGTTTAGTGCAACCACAAGTGCACTACAATCATCAGATTGTTTTGTGGGCGGATTCGTTCAGAAATTCTGAACACCTTCTTAAGGTAAATTGTTCTCGATTATGCCGAAACAACAAATTTAATATATTTGAACCAAATTTCTCGATTTCAGATTTACCTCGATGAGCTCAAACACACGGAGCCACCCGAGTTTGACCAAGCCATGAAGGACTTCATGAGTTTTAGAACTCAAAATTAAATAAATTAAAAATTTATTAAAAATTTAAAATAAGTTAAAATAAATAAACTTAATACTGGTATCATGATAGGAGGTTCCTTGTGATTGACTCATTCCAATGGCTCACTTCCGTTTTTGATTCTTCTTCTTTTGCTGTTAGTCTGTTGAATTAACTCTTTTGCAAATGCTTAATACTGACCTCATAATAGGATGTTTCTTGTGTTTTATCCCCGGTTAATAAATTTTTGTTTATTTTTGTTGTTGCATAGAAATCGCGTATGTTCGCCTTTGTTTTAATTTTTCTTTTGAGCAGGCTTGAAGTGCACTGACGAGACAAGGAATGAGACTTCAAATCCCCGCAAAATCCTACAACATGCTTGGATCTCACTACAAAGATCAACTCAACTCCTTGTCTTTCCTAGTAAGTCCAGTTTGCATAATCTGAACAACAATGTTAATACAAATTGAATTGGTACCGTTAGTCTACTTTTATGAACCAACAAAAACGGCAAGCTCTAATGGCATAGCTCTCGAAATTGCCAGTTATTTGTTTAAAATCTTGTTTCTCTTTTTATGCTTAGTACTCAATAAAATGTAAATGTTTCTGTTAACATCAAACTAATTGGCAACTGCATTGATGGGGTGTAGACAACTCTCTCCTTCAGCCAATACATTCAGTCACCCAAGGGCTTGCTGGGTAAAAGAGTTTTCAAGGTCCTTTTTAGAGTTTTAGTCAAATAACTCAAAACACTACAATGATACAGTCCTTTGTTAAATGCATCTTTTATTTTGTTTAGGCAAAGCGAGTCTAGAAATATTTAAATAGGCTTTATCATTGGTATCAATGGAGAACCTTGTTGACACTCACCAAATAGACACTAAATCACAAAACAATCAAGCATTTGATTAGGGCAAGTGTTTGAGAGACTCGATTTGTTCACCAATAACAAGCAAGATTAATTTTAGAAAATCTAAACAGAAATAGCTTTTAAGATTCTATCTTATAAATGTTGCCGTATGAAATGACTGTTTAAATCACAGGCTAAAGTGATACAACAAAGCATTAACCTAACAAAAAGTTGGATTCATATTAGGTTGAGGAAAAAGTAATGTCGGTTTTGAATTCCCGTTGCTGGCAATTTTTCGAGTTCTTTGCTTATGCTATTTTTTTCAAATAGATATCAGCTAGACACTCTATACTTTCATATTATATTTGACTATTATATTTCATATTATATTTGAAAGAAATCCCCGCTAAGGACCCCAACAAGAAGCAACGATTCCTAACCAAGGCCTATATCATGCTCAAGATCAGGTAAGCTTTTGATTTTTTACTTGTACTGAATTATTAATTGTTTAAACTAACTCTTTTCCATTTTAGACCGAGCAAGAATATCATGAAGATCTGGGAATCGGGACGCTTCGATCGCCACTTTGGATCATCTTGAAGTTCTTGCCGAAAGGATCGCTAAAATCGGTAAGCTGTTTTTTTTGTTTCACATCATCATCATCATTCTTTGCGTGGATTTTTTTAATTAGTATCATCATTAAAATTCTTTCACTATGATAAATTACAATGTTTAAAAGATACACCTACCATTTAAAAGCTATAAAATCTCTTTTGTAGACTGCAAAAGATTAAGTAGATGTCTTGTCAAGTGATCATTCCGTGAAAAAGTTCTTGTCGTTCTTGAAAATAAAATGCTCGAACATACAAAACATACAATATTTTCAGAAAGAGATGGTGCGGTCGATCTGTCTCATTCTGGCCGCCTGTTGTACTTCTATCAAAGAAGCCTTCCATAAAATGGTTACTGCGTGGTGTTCCATGGAGAGGGAGATCTTCAAATCCCTCAACTGTCCCGTTTGCAATGAACCCTGTCAGTTGTGTTTGTTAAATGTATAAGATGATAACAAAAAAATGTAATCATTCTTTTGATTCACCCAATTTAGAGACAGGATCATACCCCGACACAAACTCGTTGTTCTGATCCTCAAGCTATGTGCTTGAAGTGCTTCAATGGACAAAAAGAAATGGAAATGGCAACACGAGTACATCAGTGTGGGGGATTCGATTGTTTTCAACATGACCCAACTTCTTCATACGATTTGATGGGTGAGTGGCTGTTCTTCATCTCACTTTCCTTCTCATTCTCTCTAAAGATCTCACAGATTTTCCGGTGCACAAAGATCTCGGTATTCCCTTAACATTACCACCAATTGCATGTTGAGAAATAGGCTGAACTCATCTGGTGGTGGAAAATGTGGTAACAGACACACAAATAGACAGCTTTATAAAATTATAAGATAGTAGATAACCAGAGAAGTTGTTTAGAGTTCCTGTCGAATGACGCTCTTGTGTTGAAAAAGAAGGGATACGTGTTGGCAACTCAAGTAACAATTCCCCAATGTATAGTTTGCCGCCAAGAATGTGAGCAAGAGCTATCGTCAAAAGCCAAAAAAAATCTTAGATTCCATCGACGATCCCCAAAAAGAACCATTTGCCCTCCATTGCGGGCACACTTTATGCAATGTATGCTTCGATCGAGTAAATGGCCACACCAGATCGAATAAATGTCCTCACTGCCAAGGCGAGGGCCTCAGTATGCAAACATCGTTTAACAATCCATTGAAAGGTTTGTTGCGTAAAAATTCCACAATTCTTTCTCTAAGAATCTTTAAAAAGGAAATTTTTAGCGTTTCTACGCGAATTACCCTCAAAACAGGAGGAACTTTCTCAAAAAGAAGCAGCAGGATACAAAATTTGCAATTATTGTGGAGATTGGGGACCTTTCGAGAAAATGTATCAATGTAACGATTGTGGGAATAAAGTAGTGAGTGATTTTAATGTATTTATCAATTTATCAAACAAAGAAACGATTTTTTTTAGTTGTGCTCCCTTTGCCTAGTGCGAAAGAAGCACTACACTCATCAATTCGTCGAATTGTGGGTGGCTAAGGTAAGCCGAAATTTGAGAAAGATTTAAGTGTTTTAAAAATCGGAGGTCTTTTTAGCCTTAAAATTTCATTCTTCTTTCATCCAAAACCTCTCCGAAACGATCACTTCACAAATTTAGGTTCGATGTGTACCTACATTACACTCAGATTTGATCAAAAATTGTGAAGACTTTCATAAGGTAAATTGTTCTCGATTATGCCGAAACAACAAATTTAATATATTTGAACCAAATTTCTCGATTTCAGAGCATCCTCGATGAGATCAAACACATCGAAACACTCGAATTCGGCCAAGCCAGGGAGGAGAAAATCAATGCTTTGTTGTGAGTTTGTTGATCGGAGTCGAAGCTTTTCAAAAATTTCTCTTCAATTTCAACAATTTCTATTCAATTCTCAGGAAAACCGTTGCTCAATTCAAGGAAATCAAGGAGAAATATTTGGCCGAGTTCCGATCATGTAAAAAGGGAGTAGAGGTCAGTTTTTGAGAGAGCAAAGAAAGACAAAGTGTGGAATTGGTTTAAATTTGGAACAATCAAACAAAGAAATTTCAGAATCTCAACAATGGAATCAAGGGCAGCAGGAAGCGGAAAAGAAACGACGACGAGTGAGACGGAAAATGCTTCCAATGAGTGAACATCGAGAGGGTTTACTTCTTCGAAAGAACACTTTGCATTTTTATGTTGTTCACTTTGTTTTCCTTTTCTGCCAAAGCTTGACTTGTGAATCTCATTCCAATCGCTCACTTTCGTTCTTGATTCTTCTTCTTTTGCTGTTAGTCTGTTGAATTAACTCTGTTGCAAATGCTTAATACTGGTATCATAATAAGATGTTCCTTGTGTTTTATTTAGACGGTGAATAAATTTTTGTTTATTTTGTTGTTGCATAGAAATCGCGTATATTCGCCTTTGTTTTAACTTGTCTTTTGAGCAGGCTTGGAATGCATTGACAAGACAAGGAATGTGACTTCAAATCCCCGCAAAATCCTACAACGTGCTTGGATCTCACTACAAAGATCAACTCAACTCCTTGTCTTTCCTAGTAGGCCCAGCTTGCATAATCTGAACAACAATGTTAATATAAATTGAATTGGCACCGTTAGTCCACTTTTATGAATCAACAAACACGGCAAGATCTAATGGCATAGCTCTCGAAATTGCCAGTTATTTGTTTAAAATCTTGTTTCTCTTTTTATGCTTAGTACTCAATAAAATGTAAATGTTTCTGTTAACATCAAACTAATTGGCAACTGCATTGATGGGGTGTAGACAACTCTCTCCTTCAGCCAATACATTCAGTCACCCAAGGGCTTGCTGGGTAAAAGAGTTTTCAAGGTCCTTTTTAGAGTTTTAGTCAAATAACTCAAAGCACTACAATGATACAGTCCTTTGTTAAATGCATCTTTTATTTTGTTTAGGCAAAGCGAGTCTAGAAATATTTAAATAGGCTTTATCATTGGTATCAATGGAGAACCTTGTTGACACTCACCAAATAGACACTAAATCACAAAACAATCAAGCATTTGATTAGGGCAAGTGTTTGAGAGACTCGATTTGTTCACCAATAACAAGCAAGATTAATTTTAGAAAATCTAAACAGAAATAGCTTTTAAGGTTCTATCTTATAAATGTTGCCCTATGAAATGACCGTGTAAATCACAGGCTAAAGTGATACAACAAAGCATTAATCTAACAAAAAGTCGGATTCATATCATTAATCGATCGAAAGGTTAAAAAACAACACACAACAACTGATAACTCTAAATTCTATCCATATAAAAAATGAATAGTCACTTTAATGGCAAGACTTTGTGAACATGCCCTTTCGAATCCAGTCAACTCAATGTCTCCTGTAAGCTGAGAATGTCAAACTAGTAACTTGATAAAGTTTTTAAACAATTAGACATGAGCAAGATAAATAGGTCAATCCATCGACTTTTCAGAAGATCTTAAAAGCTGTGTGCGATGCTGGAAAGTGCCAAGATGGCAAGATGGGCGAGTTCAAACGACTTCAATATACAAGGTGCGGCAGAGTTAATGTAGGCACTTGAATGCATCTCAAGCAAACACTATACAAATCTCAGCGTTATATATTATTTAAAAGCTTGAATTCTTCTCTAAAATGATGTATCATTGAGATTTTGATGAGAATCTTTCTGATGAGAACCAGAACCAACAAGGTTCGTTCGAGCTCGAAACATTTACATATTTCAATATTGAGAAAAATGACAGTGACCCAAAAGGGGTGCTAAGTTAGTAAGCAAGAATCCCACTCTGGTTGGTTACAAAAGATTCTCATCAAAATTTCAGTGATACATTATTTTAGACAAGACTTCAAGCTTTTAAATGATATATAACACTTAGTGCTTTCAGATGAAATTTGTGTTAGTGTTTGTTTGAGATGCATTCAAGTGCCTACGTAACTCTGACGCACCCTGTAATACAAATAAAATCAAATGATTTGTCTTTTTATTCGAATAAGCAAGCATCCCAAGATGCTTAGTTTCACTCAACCATATTTTTGTATTCAATTTTCATTTAGTTAAACTATCATGTTTTTGTATTCATTCTTTCAGACACTAGGTGCTTCTTTGAACCATTTTTATTACTCCAACTTTACTGGCTTACATTTTTTACATAATAAGCAATCTTTGAATAAAATGTTTTAAGAAGCAAAACTTCAGCTGAATAGCCTTCATTTCTTCAATTTGAACAAAGTTAAGCGTTTTTTAGCTTTTCGTTTGTGCAGTCAGACAAAGCTCATTCGTGATGTGTTTACAGTTCAACGTTTATTAGTGTCAAAAATGCTTAGTTTTTCCTTTAAACTCCTTATGAGATGGGCTTTTAGTACTTTTCAAATTGAAATTCTCAGCACATTTCGTTGCACAATTTTATCGAATGTACAGTACTAAATGCTTCGGGATGAGACCGAAGGACTTTTTCGGGAATCAAAGAGGTTTTATTATATTTTATGACACAATTTGATCAAATGCACAGTACAGAAAACTCCGGGACGAGACCGAAGGACTTTTTCGAGAATCTTCTAAAATCAAAGAGGTGTTTTTGCTTGAGTAAGCAAAATGTTTTTCATCGCGTAAATAGACGTTTTCAATGTAGCCTGAAGTGTTTGACATTTGAAATTGTAGCCTTTTGTAAATTTGGATTAAAACTTTATTTTTTCAACTCGGAATCCAGTGTTTATTCACTTCACTTGTCCTTTAATCAGTGAACTCTCCAAGCATTCATTTTCAAATCGATAGCCGCAAATGATTTTCGGTGATCAGGTAGATAGCGGAAGTTTTCTTTCACCTAAATGTGAAATAAGCTCTGAGCGGGTATTTTCGTAAGTTATTCAATTCATCGCATTGTAATCACAATTTAGGTTTGCTGGAATGCTTCTCAATATCCCGAGAGGACAGTTGTTGGATGAGGTGACGTCACATGTGTATACTCGATGTAACCAGGCGCAAGTGGAGTAAGTTAAAAGTTAATTTCAAACATAGTTAATAATCTTTTATGTTTTAGGGCAAACGTTTGGCCAATTTCGAAGGAAGAAAGATATGGTTGGAGGACAGCCTACGAATCGAACGCTATATACGAATCGAACGCTGTACACGAATCGAACCATGAAATCGACTTTGAGGAAGTGTGGTCTTCAGATGACGAATACAGCATTTTATTTTGATGAAGTCTTGTTTCATTTTTGATTTCAAGTTTTCAAGTTTTGCTGGCAAGTTTTGTTTTAAACTCTTTAATGGCTTGTCTTTCAATGTCTTCAATGTTTTTCTGGGTTTTACTGCTAAATTTGTAGGAAATTGATTATTGTCCATAAATTTGCTGAAGTTAAAACGAAATAACACGAGACACTTGCTGAAAACTCAATTCATCAATACAGAAAATTGCGCCGAGTCGATTTGGTTCGATTCGAAAAATTTCGGTGCAGACTAAAGCGATTCGATTCGAAAATTTTTAACTTTCAGCCTCGACCGAAAACGATTCGATTCGAAAAAGTCAACCGAACACCAGGTCTACTGTATACAGCCCAACCCATCTTTGAAATTTTTACGAATAAGAAATCCTTCAGCGATAAGAACAAATGATAGTCAGAAGCGACAACGTCCGGAGAATACGGTGCAGGAGGAAGGATATTCCAGTGTAGGTTGTTCTTCACAAAATCGAGCGAAAAATAATTTTAAATAATTCAATTGAATTTGAACAAGGACGAAATGAGCCGTGTTTTGAAAATCGAGCCAGCCGATCAATTATTTTCTCCAAAGGCACGCAATCTGAACTGAACGGCCAAACATGAGCTTGTCGTTTGTATCGATAACATTGATAAGCAAGTCTAGCTTTCATTCGTTAAAAGTGCAAAGTTGCAACTTTTCTTCTGCTTTTAAAACGTATTGTTCAATTTTTTAAACTCTTTCCTTTGCAACTTTAATTCTTTTCATTTAGAATGAAGGGTCCGATGATCGTTCTCAACTCGTACGCCTAATCGCATCCATTCGACGAGCGGCGATGCCAGGTCGGAAACGCGCAGGATCCGCTGAAGGTTGGACGCTCGGTGGCTCGACTCAAACCGATGACGGAGAAGGCCATTTTCGACTGCAAAGTGTTATCGAGGAGTCACGCGATCGTGTGGTTCTCTGGAGGCGCTTTCATGATCAAGGACACGAAAAGCAGCAATGGTCGAAGATTAGTCGAAAAGTGAGCTTAATGTTTCGTTGCTAACTTAACTTTAGGCACATTTGTCAACAATGAGAGACTCGCGCAAACCGGGGAGGATTCAGTGCCGCAACAGATCAACACCGGTGACATCGTTCAGTTTGGCGTGGAAATTGTGGAGAACACGAACAAGAGTTGGATCATTTCGTTTTATTATGGGGTTTTCTTTTTTAGTCCCACATGGATGCATTTTGGCGACTCTCAACTTGAAAGCGCGGAGTTGTCTACTGACCGGGCGTGGAAATCATTCCTGAGTGAGGATCGTTGCTCGCAAGGTTTGACGATTTAATTGAATTTACATATCGTAAATATTAGAATTACCGTTTTGGAGGGGCAGTTGGATCTTAAAGGCAAGGACGACAACATTATTCGAAAAGAGATGCATCGAAAAGAGATGCTTGCAGACAAGGCGGAATACATGGAAAAACACACACAACGAAATCAATAAGGCGCGAGAACAGCGAGTTGAAGCCGAGCTCCGATTGAGCGACACCAAACGAAGCTTGCTGACCGTTGAAGAGGAATTTCAAATCATTAAGCAAAAAGTGAGTTTGTTTTGATCGAAATCGTAATTCATATTTTTAGTACTAGACCTTAATCAACAACAACGCGACGGTGGTCAGCGCTTTGGAGGAAGTGCGCTGTGAAAACACAAAACTCGTGTACGAGCTTGCGAAAGCAGAGCTTTTGAGTAAATGCTTCAACTTTTTAACCTACTGAAGATTTTATTTAGAATCCGAGTCTGAGAATCAGTTGCAACTAGATGATATCATACTGCCTCAAATAAAGGCAGAAGATGATCCAGAAGAAAGTAGCCATCTATCGACGTCAGGCATCCGAGTCACAATCAAAGAAGGAGACGAGGAGGTTCCGTCCGAAACGTTTGTCGGACTATGTGGCGACGTTTGTCGGACTATGGTGCAACTTATTGTTTATGCTTTCAACTTGTAGTTTTAGAATTGGATTTCGATGGCAAAGAAGAATTATTGGCAAGCAAGGAAATGGTTGAAGAGTTGGCACGGCTTAAGGAAGAAAACACTATGCTTCAAGGTTTGCTATGGTCTCTAAAATTTGAAAATTAGTTGAAATTTAGCTACTTTGATCAATTGTCAATCGGAAATTGCTGCACTTCGTGTAGAAGCTGCTAGCCGCCAATTCGGTCTTGACGAGCCAATTGATCCGGCAGTTTCAACGGCACTTGATGAAAGCGCGCTTCAACAAAGGATCCCTCATCAAGACAATGTGGTAGGTTAATTCGCTTTATTTTCGAAAGTCGTTAAACAACTTCTTTATTCGTTTGTTTTAGATTTTGCTATCGATCATTCCACTCTTCTCAATCATCGTACTTCTCATCGGCTACCTCTACACTTGGATCGCGCTGAAAATCGTGAAACGGGATTGATTGTTTACTATACTGTTTTTATTATTGCTGTTTTTATAAATTATTATAAATAAGTTAATCGTGCTTTGTGATTCCGTATGATGCTAAACTTTGCCTTGCTTTTTATTTGAGTTGATCTTTTGCATGTGATTTTGACGTTTACAGATTGATTAATTTAAAGCCCGGTTTTATAAAATAAATCTTAAAATAATATTGCAAGGTAGTGTCAAATAAACAAGTAGCAAAAATAAATAGGGTTGTCAAGTCTTTTAGGGTTGTTGTGGAGTATTCAATTTTGCACCATTTCGATTTACCGCCAGAATCCATTTTCAAGTGCTTTACTTCAATTCAAAAAACTTCTCACAATTTATTGCCCAAATACAAAAATCCCTAATAAAACAAAGCGATGGAACGAAGAGAAACGAGTGTAGTGATTGAGAAAGACGAAGATGGACGACTTTATTCCACCTTCTGTGCCTAAACATACAAATTGTTGCTCGTTCACAATATTCATCACAAGCACTGACATAAAAATTGTATGGGTAACGCTAAGTAAGCTCTCCGCTATCCTTTAGTACCCTAGTATGTGTCCTTGGCAAGAGCTTTGAACTTTTTAAGATCTTTTATCACAAGTAGAAAATTTGCTTTATCTTGCTCGGAGTGGTTGGAGATTTGGTGGGTGAATTTGGCGATTTTCCTCCTCGTTTATGCAAGAACCAATCTAGTTGTAAGAAAACTAACTTTTCCTCAAGTTCACACATCTTTCCAATCGAGTTGCCAAAGAACACGTCAAAAGTATTACTACAAGAATCAAAATAACAACTTATAATTAATGAAGAATCCGGTAAAACTAACTTACCTAGGTGTCCAAAGATCGTTTGTTAAGAGATATAAGCAAGGTGTCAAATTTTGGCTAGAAATAAACTCAACATAACAGAAAAAAGTTAAAAAACAATAGAATTTCGATTAGTTTATTGTTTTAAAATGCGCCTTTAATCTAATTGCGAAGTTAATTCAATTTCTACCCGAGTAAACTGTAAATAGAGTAATATCATCAAAAACGCATACAGATCTTCTGTAAATTGATCATAACACTAAATGTAAAGTTATTTTTCCTTTTCAAACAACTATGATACTGAGAGAAAAAGCCAAAACGTTTTACTCAAAAAAGAAGAACTGCAATTTTTGCGTTAAAATTATCGATAGCCTATTAAGAGCTTTTATACCTGCAAAATAGCAAGTACAAACTAGAAAAAAATAGATGGTGGTGGCGACAAAGCTTCCTTTTTATTAAGCATTTTTTATTTGCGTCAACTTTCCTTCAATTTTCAGTGCACGTTAATCATCTACTTTTATTATGTTTTTGTTTAGACTTTTCGTGGATTCTTTTTCAGTATCTTGATTTCTCATTCTAATATTCATTTTATTTAGCGCAACATGGAAACTCAACTCTGTTTCTTCGAAGACTTCGATTCACTTGAAGTGACGGCAAGTTATCTGGAGCTGGGTCATAGAACCAAGCTTTTTCGTTTTGGTTACCCGGATAATTGCGACCGTCGCAAATTTTCGATGAAAGCAATTGGGAAGATCCAGATTACATTCGCTGAAATGTTGTTACAGGTTGGTCATTTTCATTTCAGGCTCGATTAAATTTTTATAAAATCAAAACTATGAAACCGAATACTTTGTGATAAGGAGAGATTGGGTAGATGTTATTGATCTATTTACCTTTAGGCTAAAGATGATGACTCTTGGTTTGAACTTCCTTCTGTGGCTCTGTGCCTTGAATTTACCAATGTCATGAAGTTTGGCAATTTTATAACCAAAATCGGAAATCTTGCACACTACCAACAGGTGATTTTTGTTAGCGATTATATCCTTACGAAGGTTGATTCATATTATTGTGTCAATTATTCAATTCTCTAGATTGTCAGAATCTTTGACTTAACTATTAGTTTATAAGAATCAACTATGATAACTCATCAATTGATTAATTTTAGCTATTTCTACCTCCTGTCGACTCAAAAGTTGATGAGGATTCAGAGGACGAAAACGATTCCGATGTTGAGGGCCATGAGAATTCGGATGAACAAATGTTGGTTGTATTTAAGTTACATTGAATAAAGGGTTCCATGAATTTCTCCATATCAACTTAATTGCATGTATTTTACTTGATTTTATCGGAATTCTTTTAGTTGCTTTTCTGATTCTGACTATGTACAATAAAACTCATTTTCAGCCGCTCGATGAATCCAAGGTACAGCATTCTTGAGGATTACACTCACATGAAGGTGACTCAACGATTTATTGAGATCACTGTTGCGGGCAAGACTTTACGATTCGCTCACCCAGCTGCTAATGCTCCGCGTCGTTACACAAAAGGAGAAAAGGTCGTTCCACGCAAGTTCCAGACGCTCCTGATTCCAGGCGTAATCCTTCAGGTTATTACGATCATATTTCAATAGATCCCTAATCTAACTGAAATTAGTTTTAATTTCTCTAATTTTAAGGGAAAGCCTCGACGGGCCCGGCGATATCTGGATGCATGTGAAGTGGATTTGTACATTGAATTTTCAAAACCGAAACTTCATGATCCATTTGGGACCGCCCTTATACGTGAAGGTTATGTCTACTATGTTTAAGGTTAGTTGTTTTGATTGTTACAGCTAGTTATCATTGTATAATTGACTTTCATTATGATCATATTCTTTCTTACAACCCTTTATGATTATTAATACAAAAGTATAGAATACAGAAAGGTAAATAAATCGTTTAGGTTGCTTTAAACAAGATTTGTATTAAGAATTATTGAAATTTTGAGATTAGATAATCTAAATTGCAACTTCCGTCACCACAATCAACCAATTTTTTTCATTTTTAGTTGCCCGTTTCCAATTATCATCTCATCAACGACAGGCAATGATGACTGTTTTTCATTTTCTGTTTGGTTTGCTTTATTCAAGCTAAAATAAATTTTTCCTTGAATTCTTGTTTGTTCAAAATTCAAGATTTTAGATTCTAGCTATTTGAAATGACTCATTTGTTAAAATTTAACTTTATATTTCAGAATGACATTGAATTAGGTTTTTGGTCTATGTATTACCGATTAACCGATTTTTCAACTTCATCCATTGACTTTAGAATTGATAGTTGAAGGACCCGTGCTTGGATAGGTCGGCAACAAAACAGAGATTGCTTGGTTCTCGATAGACAATCCCGGTTTAGTTGGATTTTTTAAGAGTTTATCATATGTTGCTCTCAAACTAAAGGAAAAGGCCTATATCGTTTTTGAGAATTGTTTTTTTTGATGAACCGTCATAATATAATGAAGAAGCCGAGACATTGGCTCTGAATTTTTGATGGGATTTGAGGAAAAAATATTCAATTTTTAAAATAAAACTCGGAGAGGCGAAGCATAATCTTTGTCATATCGAGTAGGTATCTGGTCGTAAAGCTAGACTCGCTGAAGTGTGTTAGTATTCATCTAGTCTTTCGCAATTTCTTTCAGTCTCGATCACTCTAACATGGAGAAAAATTGCGTTGAAAACTGAAAATTTTGTAACCGCACTTTGCGCATGGGAAGTTCGTAACGAAAGCCCAATGGCTCCATTGAAAAATGTGAAGTCGAGTGTTTGCATTGATGAGGTATCTTTTGATTCTTGGACATTTGGGTAAACTTTGATGATTTTAATTAAAAACTTGAGCTCTGATTTGTGGGTGGGTAGGTTCAAATACTGCTTATCGCAAATTCATTCGCCTCGGTTAGTTTCAGGTCCCTCAGTCGAGCAAGATATTGGCTCCAACAGAGTCACCAAGCGTTGCTGAATCACTTCGTTTCATAGCTTTCAATCGCTCGATTGGTTCCATTTTGGTTCTATTTTGTTTCCAATTCGGTTCTCGATTGGTTCCATTTTGGTTCTGAATTGGTTCCAATTCGATTCTCGATTGTTTACATCTTGGTTCCAATTCGATTCTCGACTGGTTCCGTTTTGGTTCCGATTCCGTTCTCGATTGTTTACATTTTAGTTCTCGATTGGTTCCATTTTGGTTCTCGATTGGTTCCAATTTCAAAAATTATAAAAGTATTACTAATCGATTCAACATAGTCAAAAACCCTTGTGTGCAAGTTTTCGTGGAAAAATATTGATTTTGGGTCAAGGTCCAGACTGCCCCCCTCCCCAACTACTCTAGCTCCTTCATCCAAAGGTCTTCATCTTCATCCGAAGCACTGATATCGTGTCTGTAGTACAGATTTTATATTTTTGGTTATTTTTCATCTCTTCCACCGTAATCCATTTTCTATTCTGCACTAACTTTGACCGCTAGGTGAGTTAAGTTGAACCAAAAATGAGATTTTTACACGAAACTTAACATTTTTAGCACTCTGGTAAGACCTTTTATAAGACCCGGCTCAGGGAAAACAAAAGCCGATTCACCCATTCTCCCTTTTCGAACAAACAATTGCTAATCGTTAGGCATTTTCCCGCTCGCCGATGGCATTTGTTTCTCCGTGATCAACATTTGTTTATCAACAGCACGAATAGAGTTTTTCTCCCCAAAAAGCAATCACTTCATCGATTTTCAGGGAAATGAGAGATTTCCTGCTACTTTTCACTATATTTGCAACATCGTATTGCAAGCCGGACTTGTAAGTGAAGAGTTTCGCAGGCTGTGCTTTCTAAAGTGTGTCACTTTTCTAAAAGCTACCGTAATCTTCCAATTCTTATCCAATCTATTCACTTTTTGTCGGATTCTGTGAGGGTTCACAGAGGATATCGAAAGATATAAAAAGTGGATGGATTGGATAAAAATAGAGACAAGATTACGGTAGTTTACGAGAAAAGGGACAGGTTTTAGAAATGGCTTTTTTATATTAAGACTTTTATTACCAGGGACTTACAATAACCCTAATAATTACGATTTAAAAACTCAAGCTAATTGATTGTCTGGTTCTAGGGAAATTTTATTAGGGTGTCCCGAATGAAAATACCCTCAACTTCGATTGCAATTTTTTCGGTGTAGCGAACAGCTTCGCGTCTGATTTTTGTTTTGTTTTAAAGTTATATATCTTTTCTAACTCTATGTTTTTATAAAAATTTACTGCCTTACAATTTTGACTTTTTTCGAATGGAAGATCAGAAGTACCGAATTCGGGTGTGCTTGCTTTACGACTTTAAACAAGGAAAAAGTGTCCGGGAGAGCCATAGTTCAATCTTGAAATTTTTTGGAGAAGCTGCTTACTTTGAGGAAGCTTGTAAAAAATGGTTTCAACGATTTAGAGAGGGAGACGAAACTCTACAGGATCGAGGACGTGGTCACTCCCTCCACGATGACGATCTTCGAGAAGCCATAGAAGATGACCCAACCTTGTCGACTCGGGAACTTGCAAAAATGTTTGCTGTAGGCCACACAACAATTGCGGACCATTTACACCGTTTGGGTAAAGCGAATCTCGTCGGAGAATGGGTATCCCATCAACTTAGTGACGCTAATAAAGCTACTCGAGCGACTATGGCCGGTATTCTTCTTCGTCAATCAAAAAATCGAGGTTTTTGGGACACTATTGTGACGGCCGATGAAAAATGGATTTACTACGATAACCCATCGCGAAAACAGAAGTGGTTAAGTCCAGGAGAACAGTCAAAAAACGACGCCACAACGTGATCTGGATGGAAGAAAGGCCAGGTTATCTGTTTGGTGGAATTCCCGTGGCCTGATACACTTTGAGGTTCTACATTCTCGTCCAACAGTTACCTCAGATGTATATGTGCAACAGCTGGAACTTTTAGACCAGGCTCTCAAGAATCAAGGTGTAAACGCATCGACTGTGAGATATCTGCAAGATTACGCGCGCTCACACACAGCAAAGATAACGCAAGAAAAACTCGAGGAATTGAATTGGGAATGTCTCCCGCAGCCGCCGTATAGTCCAGATCTGGCACCCTCAGACTACCGCTTATTTCGATCTATGCAGCACTTCCTGACCGATAAACACTTCAAGGATCACGACGAAGTCCGAATTTGGGTAAGCCAATACTTTGACTCGCAGCTTCAGGATTTCTTCAACAAAGGGATCCGAGATTTGAAAGAAAAATGGAGAAAGACTATTGCCAACAACGGCGAATATCTTTTGGATTACAGCGCCTTTTTTTCTTTTTGTGGAGATAGATTTGTTTTTCATTAAAAGGGTATTTTCATTCCGGACAACCTAATACTTACGAGATTTTGCGACTTATTTTACGAGAATAGTTACGAGAATAGTACGAGTTAATCTAAATTTTCATCTACAAAGAAAATGCCGGGGTTACAGTAGCTTTCCCAAACGGTGGCACCTTTTAGAAATCAATAAGTAATACCGATACAGACAGTCAAGCTATTAAACAGTCTATTAACTTTAGCGTGTACCAACATGAAACCAAAACTTCATCACAACAACGTTCCTTCACTGTCGACTACGTGAATGGAGTTTTTCGAATGGACGACAAACCGTTCACATATTATTCGGGTACAGTACAATGATCTCGATAAAATATGCTAAATTGAAGCTATAAACTAATTTCTAGGCTCAATTCACTACTTCCGGATTCACGAAAAGCGATGGAGCCAGCGTCTGAGACAGCTACGAGACCTAGGACTGAACGCAATTCAATACTACATCCCGTGGAACTTTCACGAAGTTTTCGAGGGACAGTAAGTAAACTCCGGAAAAGGATTTTCTGTCAAACAGAAACGAAAAGACTTTTGTAATCTTGTCGAATAGAATATGGAATTTGTAAAGACTTATGACCAGCGTTCTGCTTTTTGAACTGAAGCTTTTCTCCTCCTTTCTCCCAACTCAATTTCCAAGCTTCTCCCATCTCACCCAAAAGCATCCGAGCATTTGCAAAAGAAGGCTGGAAGCTGGATCGAATCGGACATCGGGTTCGATCCCGGTCGGAGGGAGGGACAGACGCTTTGACACTTCACCATACGACGCAATGATCAGTTCTCTTTTTCGTGCCCTTTCAAGGGGCTCTTCCTGCCTTCCTTGTCCTTTTTGGAACGTTGCTACATTCTGTCTTACGGTACACTACATTACGGTAACAAGCAGTCCGCCTAAAATACAATTGCTAGCTACAGTATGCCATTAGTTCCCTTTAAAAAGCTCATTTTCAGGTACAACTTTGTCGGTAATCGCAATTTCACCGAATTCTCTCGATTGGCCTGGCAACAACATGGGATGTACACAATTTTACGAGTCGGTCCCTACGTTTGCGGGTAATATTTTAGAAATATTTTAGATACACAATTAAGTATATTAACAATAGCAATATAATGGCCAATATACTTTCAGAGAATGGGAAAACGGTGGTTTCCCGGCATATGTTACTGATGGAAATCTGACGCTTCGCTCTTCAGATGAACGGTAAGAAATAGCGGTAATTCGTTTTCTAAAAAGCATCCATTTTCGAAAACTACCGTAATCCCGCCAATTTCATTCAGACAGACCCAATTTTTGGTCAAATTCTATGAGAGAATGACAAGGCTCAGCCAATGATATCAAAATTGAGCTGATCTAAATGAAAACTGGCAGGATCAAATGAAAACTGAAAGGATAATTTGTTAAAATAGATGTCTTTTAGAAAGCTGAAAACAAATTGTCTTTAGAAAACAAATTTTAGCTACTTGTTCTATGTGAAGAAATGGTTCGATGTCTTGTTGCCAAAGATCAAACCGATGCTGTACAATAATGGAGGTCCAATTTTAATGGTTGGTTCAGAAATAAGTATTAAAAGTTTTGATTCTTCTGGGAAATCTGGATCTTTTCACAAAATACGAATCTTTTCATTGTGAAAAGCTATCTATTTCAGCGTCAAAATCAATTTTTCAAATTTCTTCAATTTTTGCCTCAAATTTGGCTGTATTTTTCTCTACAGAACTCACTTGAGCGCTAGAATTGCTAAAATCTTGATAATTTTGAAAGAAAATGGAATGAGTTGCGTGTTGGAAACGTTTGAATAAAAGCATGAACAAGAAGAACTGTTGGAGCAGAAACAAATGCAAAAAAGAAGTTTAATTGGAAAGATTCCAAGTAGTAGTTAACTCCCTCTGAAGTAAGGGAGATCAGGTGCCGTGTGGTGTAGTGTTTAGCACACTTGCCTGGTAAGCGAAAGGCCGTGGGTTCGAGTCCCGGCGTCGCGCGAATTTTTGATCTGCCTTAGTTCCAACCCAGTACCTAGAATATCATTGTAATACTGAAGTATTTTTACAAAACCTTGTTTTCTCTATTGCATTATCGGGGAGTTGTAAAAAATTAAATTTCTTTGTCTTCCAATTCCATTTGCTTTGCAGAAGCTAGAAAAATAGGCTAAATACGGCTTAAACGGATGGCCTAACGTAAGAGCTTTTATCTATATCGATCGTTTCAGTTGATCAGAGGATAAGGAGATTTTTGAAAAGCAAGCAAAAACAAGGAACTGAAACATGGAACTGAAAAAGGACATGGAAAAGAACCGTTCAAAGACAAAGGGAAATTTTTTAACCGACCTGAAGTCGGCAAGAAACAAAATACAGCCAAGTAGCAAAGTTTTCAGCAAAATACAGCCAAGTTTAAGGCAAAATCTTCCCAAAAACCCTTTGTCCCAAGAGAAAAACCAAATTTTTTTGAAATCTTTTTCTAAAAGATAGAAAGTTAAGATCTAAAAGATATCGTAAAACACATTCACAGGTGCAAATCGAGAACGAATTCGGCTGGACGGGACCAGAATGTGACAAAAAGTACATGAAATGGTTACGAGATCTTGCCTTGAAGCATTTAGGAAAGGATACTGTACTCTTTACAAGTAAGAAATCTTCACAAGTAAGAAATCTTTACAAGAAAGAGTAAGTCAAGCGTACTCTTTGCACAAATCTGTAAACGCACTCTTCCTGGTGCATAGATGAAATCTATGAAGCTTTCAGCCGATCCGCTCGTCCATGTAAAATGTGGAATGATCCATGGAGTGTTACCGACAATCGACTTTGGTGCCTTCAAGAATCGATCAGAGATTCAGCAGCAAGTTCTCCAGCTTCAGCAGCTCCTCCCCGGTGGAAAAGGTACTCATGTGCTTTGTGCTTAAATCTGTAAACGCACCCTTTCTGGAGCACTAAATCCTTCATTCTTCTCGCAGCAAGAAGCTACCGTAATATAATGTAACCAGCAAAAAAATTTTCGAGCAAAAAGCAAAAGAATTGGGGGCGAGAGGAGTCGAACCCGCGACCTCTCTCCTGTTCGTTTTAGAAACGCGCGCGTTAACCACTCGACCATGCTCATGGCGCAGTGCGGGCGCACTTGTCTCGTTAACCACACGGCCTGGGTTCGATTTCTGCAAGCGTCGGTACTTTTGGTTTTTTAAAAATTTAGAAACATGTTGCAGAACTACATGGAATTCTAAGGCGGACTCATAGTTAGTGATTTGAAACGGCCCACTGGGAGCGGAGGAGTAGTGCACACAGACAGACAGACAGGCAGACAGACAGGCAGACAGACATACAGACAGACAGACAGACAGACAGAAAGATGGACAGACAGAGGTACAGACAGACGGACAGACAGACATACAGACAGACAGGCAGACAGAGGTACAGACAGACAGACAGACAGACAGACGGACAGACGGACAGACAGACAGACAGACAGACAGACAGACAGACAGACATACAGACAGACCGCCAGACAGACAGACAGACAGACAGACAGACAGATGGACAGATGGACAGACAGATGGACAGACAGATGGACGGACATTTTTCTTTGCCTAAGTCTTGCATTAGCTTTCAAAATCTAAATGCAGGTCCACTCGTGAATTCCGAGTACTACACAGGATGGATCATGTATTGGAAGGAAACCGAGAATCAAATGAGACAAGAAATTCCATCCGAAGATGAAGTTGTTGATGGAATCAAGTGAATATCTTCTTAAACTATAATCCGTATTTCAATAGATCAATGAAATTGATGAAAATGAATTTCAATCTTTACATGGCTTTTGGTGGAACGAATTTTGGATATTGGAATGGAGGGAACAAGGATAAACCGGTGAGTTTTGAAATTTAAACTTCAAATTCAAATCTAAATCAGAAATAGATTCAGTCGTTGCTTTATGTTTTTCAGAAGTTTCAGAGTATTTTAGTGTCGTTTTGTTACACTTGTTGAGATCTACAAAATGAGACCAAAATCATAGAGATTGGCCGATTTAGGAGAAAGATATGGCGAGTTGCGCAAAGGACCCAGTTGCGCGAAAAATTTGGCACATTCGTCTCATTCGTACAAAGTCATTTCGTTTCTCCGACGTCGTTTCCTTTGTAGTACCCATTACTAAAAACATTAGAAATTATTAATATTCAAAAGAAACAATAGAAAAACATGTTCAAACAATTTTAATTAGAGTACAACATTCCATAATTATCTCCTTTGGGTTTATCATAATTCTAAATCGAACGGAAAACTAAATCGGACATAATATATACAAAAAGTGGATTGATTGGATAAAAATTAAAAGCAAGATTACGGTAATTTGGGAGAAAGCGGACACATTTTGTTAGGTTGGTAAAAAAGAAATGCGCATTTTCGTTAAAAATTTATTTTATTATAAAAACAAGATAACAATACATTAATCCAAAAGATATTCGCCATCTGCATCAATGACTTGTCGCCAACGTTCACGCAGAGAATGGATGCCCTTCTTGAAGAACTCGACCGGCTGCGACTCGAAGAAGTTGGACACCCAAATTTGGACCTCGTCGCGGTTCTTGAACTTTTTCTCGGCCAAGGAGTGGTGCATTGATCGGAACAGATGGTAGTCGGAAGGCGCCAAGTCTGGGCTGTATGGCGGATGAGGCAGGACTTCCCAGGCCATTTCTTCAATTTTCTGCTGGGTGATTTTTGCGACATTTGGCCGAGCGTTGTTGTGGAGGAATTTTGTCGACGCCGTATCTACACCTTGACGTCGCAGCGTCTGGTCCACGCGGTCCAATTGGCCTTGGTAGAGGTTCGCCGTAACTGTTTGACCCGAATCCAGAACCTCAAAGTACACCAGGCCTTTACTGTTCCACCAAACACAAAGCATCACCTTTTTTCCGTGGATGTCCGGTTTTGGAGTCGGTTTTGGAGCTTCACCGGGGTCCAACCACTGCCGCTTTCTTGCTGTGTTGTCGTATTGGATCCACTTCTCATCCGACGTAACAATGGAGTCGAAAAACCCACTGTTCTTGGCGCGGTGAGTGAGAATTCCGGCGATTGCGATGTGTGTCGCCTTGTTTGGGTCGGATAGCTTATGCGGTACCCATTTTCCGCATCTATTCGTCTTGCCCATGCCATGCAGATGGTTCTCAATGGTGACATGAGTGCAGCCGAACTGTTCTGCCAGGTCGCAAGTGATTTGGCGTGGATCCGACTCAATGGCTTCCTTCAATGCGTCGTTGTCGATGATTTGAGGTCGACTTCCGTGTTTTTGGTCTTCCAAGCTTTCGTCGCCGTCTCGGAAACGCTGGAACCATCGTTTACGCTGACTTTCGGATAGAGCATCTTCGTCAAACACTTGAGATAGAGCAAATCAGCTTCAGCAGCCGATTTGCCTTGCTTAAATTCATGCCACAAGCAGGCCCGCAAACGAAATTTTTGGTCCGACATTTTCTAAACACTCTTTCTTGCAAAAAAACAAAGTAAACATAGACAAATTATATATCAAACGATGCGCAAGAACACGCTCTTTCCAATAGAATAAACTATTTTAAAAAATCTTTTACTGTGAATAAAATACAAATCAACAAACACGACGCTCATTTCTTTTTTACCAACCTAATAGAAAACGAATTAGAGCTACCGCAACCTAGTGTTACGGGATTTTATCACCCATTATTTCAGTACCTCTTGAAGATTATGTTCCACAGTATCCCTGATAGTGTGAAATAATAATGGAATAATAATAATTTTAATAATAATAATAATATAGTGGGTTGATCAAGTTCAAACTCTTTAAAAGGCAACAATTCCAGTACTAGACAATGAAATATCATATTTGAAAAACGATCGTCACTTTCGCGCATCTGTAACTCCCTTGTCTTTGAGTTTAAACTATTAGTGTTATACATTTTCTGAGAGCTCTTTTCAAGGGCTACACAATGGTAATATTAGCATTTAGAAATACGGTATTTTTTGATGCATTTCAGCGCGCACAAGATGGGATACTCAGAATTTTTGCGTTTCAAAGCTGTTTTTCTTTATGATAGAGTGCTGGAATCGCTTGAAAACTACGATTTTCGGAATCTAAATCTAAAATTTACCTTAGAATAATCAACATTTGTGAAACTGTATCAAAGTTTCATAGCGAAAAGATCTAGGTGTTGACCTCGTACGACTACGGTGCCCCATATGCGGAGGATGGTTCCACTCGACCTTTGGCCAACAAAATTGAGCAAGCGATTCGCGAAGGAGATAATGATTATTATGATAAACACCCAGAATTTTTGAAAACAATTCGAAATAGTCGGAATGGAGATTTGTGAGTCATTTTTCAATCCAACAATTTTCCTCTATAGAACATTTGGCAATTTGACGATCGATGTTCAACAAATGGCCACCATGATTGGACTTGTAGCGGTATGTGGAAGTTACGAACCACTAGATTTTATAGTGGATTCAACAAGCTATCGTAACCCCAGAGTTACTGACTGTAGAAAGTACTGTACTGTTTACTCCTACTCATTTACATAGAAAGAGATGAACAGTTTGAAGTTCTCGATTGGCCTCAAATCGGCGTCGAATTGACGTCGAATCGGCCTTGAATTGGCCTCGAATCGGCCATGAATTCGCCTCGAATCGGCCTAAAAGGGGCCTAGATTCGGCCTCAAATCGGCCTAGAATCGGCCTTGAATCGGCCTTGAATTGGCGTCGAATGGGCCTGAAATCGGTCTTGAATTGGCGTTGAATGGGCCTGAAATCGGCCTCAAGTCGGCCTCGAATCGGCCTAGAATTGGTCCTCGAATGGAAATGTTCAGTCTTCGAAAAGGCTCAACTTCATGAAAATAGTCTTTTTGAGAACGCTTTTATTCAAATTAGACTATATTGTTTGATGTGTCGTAGCCGATTATGAATGAGTGGGTCTAGGCGCGTCCAACCATCAAGTGTTTGGTATCATTCAACGCAGAATCATTAATATTTATGTTAAATTTTTTAAATTAGAAAGATTGGATAAAAAGAAAAAAATTTACAGGTCTTCAAATTTTTCTCTCAAACAAACAGTTTTTTTCGCTCTAATTTTTCCTAATCGGCTACGGGGATCCCGCTGATTTTGAATGAAATGTTGTAGCGGCCGGAATTTTTAATATAAACCCACAAATTTGGTACCAATCGACGTAGAATTTAATTGGCTACAAAATGATATAATATTGTCCTGAATTTCAATCATAGTCTGCTAAACACTCAAATAATTGAAGGAATCTCATAGAAAAGAGATGAACCGTTTCGAAGTTCTCGGATGTTTTTCTGGTGCCCTGAATTCTGCATTGTTTCTCTTCTGACACCAATTCGTTGTTGTGAGAAAAACTAAGAATTCAGTTCACCAGAAAGAGTTCGTTTATAGATTTGAGCACAAAGTGAGCATCGCCACTTTTCGATCATCTCGATAATCATTTATCTCATCTTTTTGCACATTATTAACCTCTTAAACATTTAAATAATTTCATTAAATCTCAAACAAGCAAAGATACCAACCATTTCCTTTGGTTTTGACGTTGTTCTCACGTTTTGACGTCGGTAAGTAAACCCAGATTGAACATTTCAGTCAAACCCCAACAAATGCAATGGGAAAACGTTTGCCGATTGCAAACATCCCTATGGATTGATGTGCTACGAGATAAAAGATGACGTGAGTTAGTGTAAAGTAAAAACTAAAAAGTAAAGTGGTTAAAACAAAATATGTAACCCAAGTCTAAATTCGAATCCCAAAACGTGCTCCATTTCCTTTCAACTACCGGAATTTTGGCTGTTTTGGTTTTTATCCAATCTATCAATATCAATCCAATCTATCAAATATGTTCTGTATTACGAATTACTGTGCTTTCCCTTGAATTCACTAGACATAGCTAGACCTATGCGCTTTTACTTCAATGAAGAATAAAACCAAGTTCATTCAATACAAATGGGTAAAGTGTGTGAAAATGTTTTACACGCTTTACTCATTTGTTTGTCAAAGCTCCAAGAAACAATGTATTTCTTGGGAGACAGACAAAAAACTTTGAGCAAAGAATCACTTTGATGCAAATCGTAGAAGTATCTCGAACAAAAGAAACCAACTTTCACCAGACAAAAAGAGAAAATTCGGACTAAATGGGGGAAAGAAGGTGTCCTTTTATACGCATGTGAGCGTGACATTCTTTAGGTTACGGTATTTCTGATGTCTTATTAGACTATAGCAGCTTTTTGGTGACTCATCGTCACAAAATCTATCCACTTTTTTTATCCAATTCTTTAAAGATTCACAAAGAATATCGAAAGCTATAAAAAACGGATAAATTGGATAAAAATGGAAATAAGTTACGGTCGTTTGAGGAAAAGGGGCACGTTTTAGAAACCGATACAATTACTGTAGGAAATACTCAATTTTAGGGACTCGTCTTTGAAGGTTATGTTTACAAGTATGAGTCTGGGATCACCTGTGTCGAGAACTACGGTCGACTCAATTCAGGGGTCAACTCGAAATGGGTAAAACTTCAATCCAAGCTAAAGCTAAAGTAAATCAAAGCTTCAATGCGGAAAAACTTTAGTAAATATCGTGAAAAAGAACTTCAGGGTTTGATCAATGGAACGGCGAAAGCGGCTTGGGTTATCGATGATCCACTAATTTTATCAATTGGAAGAAACGGAGGGAAACGATTTGGAGTAAAAAGATTTACCGTATAGATTCTAATAGAACCGCATAGCTGAATATCCATAGCTATTGCTTTTATTGAAAATTGCGCTTCTATTAGCAAAATTACGGTACTTACTATGCCAGATTATTTATTTGAAAAGCTTATTACCCCAACTTTATGATCACATCTGTCAACGCACTATTTCTGGTGCACTGATTTCTTCAGTTTTCAGCGGCCTACGAGAAAAATCAAGATTTCAGTGCACCAGAAGATGTGCGTTTACAAGTTTGGGCACAAAGTAGGCCAAAGAGAACAGGGCGATTTTGAAAAAAACTTGTAAACGCTGACCGATTGGCACAATAATTTTTGAGTAGTTTTGATTCAATTACTTTGAAGAATTTAGCTTTGAAATTTAAAATGAATCCATTTTTAGAGGTCTGGCGCTGGTGTCTATCGCGGAACTTTCTCGCGAACTCCTCAACAAATTGCCTCCAATTTGGGTACTCACATCTCATTCGTCAACTGGGGCAAAGGATTTCTTTTCGTCAATGGCAAGAATATGGGACGATATTGGAGTCTCGGGCCACAAGTGATCAAAATTAAACGAGTTAAATAAATCAATGCTCAGCTTTCCCTGTACGTGGACGCGTATTTCCTGAAAAGCGATGGGGAAAACGAGGTGATCTTCTTGGAGCTGAAAGATGTGAATCGCGGTGGGTTTTTGGCTAACCGTACCACTACATTATACTCCGAATACTTACAGATTACTGTAGTCACGCCAGCTACAGTAATCTCTAAACTATAAGCACTATTCAGTTACTATAACTTTCAAATTCTTCAAGACGTTACTCACAAGGGAAGGCCAACTGGTTGACTGTAGAAAGTACTCAGCCAAATGCTATGCGATCCATACCATTTGACGCAGCATTTGATACTGATTCCCAATATCTATCCCGTTTTTGCTAAATGGCAATCTGCCAAGAGTTATAAGCGTCTAAAGTTTTGTTAGGACTCTGCAAATGTGGTCATTTGGGTCTTAGTGGCCTCTTAGCGGTCATTTGGGGGACAGAGTTCGGCGCAGTCGTAGCCGAGTGGTACAGCGTTCGTTTCCAGAGCGAGTTCGATCCTCACTTGGGGTTTTTTTCCGCTTTTTTCAAGAAATGTTGACTAGTGTTCTTTGTGCACATCTGATTGCACAAAGAAAAACCCCAAGTGGAGATCGAACGTGCGAGGTCTCGCCTTGAAAATGAATGCTCTACCACTCGGCCACGACTGCTCTGAAGTCTGCCCGAAACTCGATTTATCGACGTTTTTCGCTGATTGACGACGCGTAATCCTCTTTACACGGCGAGTAAATTGAATATCTTTTAGATTTGAAGAGAATTTCCCACCAAATCAGTTAAACAGTTGAATATTTTTAAAAGAAATCGTTTATAAGTTAGCGCTCGTGATTTTTCACGCCAATTTTTTGCGTCAATTTTTTTTACGCCAATATTTTTGCAATAATTTTCGCCAAAAGTACGGGAAAGTTTTTCCCCAAATGTTCGCTTTAAAAAAACGTATTACTCACGAGGAAAACACTCTAATCATTTGAGACTTTTAGGTTGCGAGGGTGACACTTGCTATTTGATCACCTCGGAGTCAGCCATCTGGACGTTTGGCCCTAGGTTCTAATCAAAGAAGAATTCTTTTTTTAAAAATCCAATACCTTTCCTTTTGACGTATAATAAAGCTTTTCATATTTATTTAAAACTTAAATAAAACAAAGAATGAAAAAAGAACACAATGAAAAGGAAAAATGAAGAAAAGGCTATGTAGGGTAAACACTTAAAACTTTCTGACGCTTATCTAAAGGTAACGAGAAAACGGCAGTGGTTGGACGCCGGTGAACCGCCAAAAACGACTCTAAAACCGAATATCCACGGAAAAAAGGTGATGCTTTGTATTTGGTGGAACAGTAAAGGTCTCGTGTATTTTGAGGTGCTGGATTCGGCCCAAGGAGTCACGGCGGATCTCTACAAAGCCCAATTGAGCCGCGTGGACCAGGCGTTGCGTCGTCAAGGCATAAATACGGCGACTACAAAATTCCTCCACGACAACGCTCGACCCCACACTGCGAAGATCACTCAGCAGAAAATGGAGGAATTCAGTCAGTCGGAGTCAGCCATCTGGACGTTTGGCCCTAGGTTCTAATCAAAGAAGTCTTTTTTTTTTAAAAATCCAATACCTTTCCTTTTGACGTATAATAAAGCTTTTCATATTTATTTAAAACTTAAATAAAACAAAGAATGAAAAAAGAGCACAATGAAAAGGAAAAATGAAGAAAAGGCTATGTAGGGTAAACACTTAAAACTTTCTGACGCTTATTAAGGCAAATCTGAAGGCAAATTAAGTCAAAAATGTGTCAGATTATTTAAATTTTCTTATCATTTCATTTCTATAACATTTTTACATTTATATTTAAATTTTTAACCCAACCGATCGGTTGTAAGAAAAATTAAGGCCTGTCAGCTCCGAGCCAAACTGATATTTTAGTTACTATTGTTATTACTGAATGATTTGTCTATTCTTATGTAAATTTGTTTTCCCCTGTGCTTATCCCTTATCGCTTTTTTATTTTAAGAACAAACTAATTTTTGTTTAAACTATCATAGAATTAAATTTTAATCGCTTTAATTGTCGCCATGTTGTAAAGCTTATTTTGGGTGTTTTAGAGGATTCCAAAAACTAGCATTTAGCTAAAATTTGAAAGCAAAAAGTAATCATTTTAATTTGATTAACCTTTTTAATGTAAAAATAACTAATTAAAATGACTGAAAAGTTCAGTGCTTTCATTTTAATCGCCAGTCTTTATGAACAAAAGCATCTCTATGCCAGACGCTTTTATTTGCCGAACTTCTAACGGCCCTAATTTTTCTTACAGCCGATCGATCAAGCTAAAAAGCTAGATCAAGCTAAATTTGCGCTACCGTCTAAACTTTTGAAACGTACTGTAGGGCCAGGTAGAATGCAAAGATTGAGTTATTAAAATTCATTAATAAATTGGTCTTTTTGGTGTGCCAACTTTTGTGTGCTTTTTGGTGTGCCAGCTTGCTTGCGTTTGCACTGATGCATAGACTCTTTGTGGTGTACTTTGAGCTTAAATCTGTAAACGCATCTTTTCTAGTCAATTTTTCACTTTCTCTGGCACTAAATGTTGCGAGTGCGAGTCATTGCTGCGAGAAAAATGAAGATTTCAATTGATGTTTTCAATTCAATTTCAATTCAATTTCAATTCAATTTCAATTCAATTCAATTTCAATTCAATGCTCTAGAAGGGGTTCGTTTACAAATTTCAGCACAAAGTACACGCAAAGGACTCTGATAAACATCGCTTGAAAGCGTCGAATCCATATTATGACTCAAAAAGGGGGATTTTTCAGCCTTTTCCAGCCTTTTCCAGCCTTTTCCAGCCGATCTCCTCTAAATTCTTCCGGAGATTTCTATCTCTCTCCGAAATTTCCTCTCTTCAAAGACATTTAAAGAAATTATCCAAATCTAACTTTTCAAAAACCTTTTTTAAAACTATATTTTATTGTTTAAAATCTAAAATTTTCCGAACTAATTAATGTTTTTCTACATCTTTCTCTGATTATTTAAATGATCGCTTTTCGATTAGGATCTGCGAGGTCGGTTTTTTGAAGGAAAATTCAAATTTATATTCAATTTTCTTGAGATTTTTCTTGAAACTTTCGAAATTTCCATTTGAAAACCATTTTATTGTGTTGATTTTCATCAAAAATTCACAATTTCAATGCTTAGCGCTTTGAAATGCAAAAAAAACCCGGTGAACTTTTTGATGAATGGAAAAAAAATCGATTTTGAATCTGATTTTTTCGAAATTAAAATGAAAATAACTTTTGCGATTTGTTTATTTTTTAGTTATTGCTTTTACTATTAGATTTTCTATTACTATTTTCTTTTTCTAAACCTTTTTATTGAGAAATTTCGTTAGTACGTTTGGTTTTTCCCGTTGAAAACTTTGCATTGTCTGTCTGTCCGTCTGTCTGTCCGTCTGTCCGTCTGTCCGTCTGTCTGTCCGTCTGTCCGTCTGTCCGTCTGTATGTCCGTCTGTCTGCCCGTCTGTCCGTCTGTCCGTCTGTCCGTCTGTCTGTTCGTCTGTCTGTCCGTCTGTCTGTCCGTCTGTCCGTCTGTATGTCCGTCTGTCTGTCCGTCTGTCCGTCTGTATGTCCGTCTGTCTGTCCGTCTGTCCGTCTGTCCGTCTGTATGTCCGTCTGTCTGTCCGTCTGTCCGTCTGTCCGTCTGTATGTCCGTCTGTCTGCCCGTCTGTCCGTCTGTCCGTCTGTCCGTCTGTCTGTCCGTCTGTCCGTCTGTATGTCCGTCTGTCTGTCCGTCTGTCTGTCCGTCTGTCTGTCTGTCTGTCCGTCTGTCCGTCTGTATGTCCGTCTGTCTGTCCGTCTGTCTGTCCGTCTGTCTGTCCGTCTGCCCGTCCGTCTGTCTGTCCGTCTGTCTGTCCGTCTGTCTGTCCGTCTGTCTGTCCGTTTGTAAAAAACATCATTTCCCGCCGAGTTATTCGACTTTAAAACTTACAACGGCCAATTTGCATTTCACGCGAAATTTGCATTTAAGAGAGGAAATTTAAGGCAAATTTTGTCAAAGCAGCTCGTAAAGCTGGTTTTGAAAGAAAATTGAATGAGTTGCGTGTTTAAAGCGTCCGAAAACAAGTATTAGATAAACAAAAGAACTGTTGGAGTAGAAATAAAGGCAAGAAGCATTTTGATTGGAAATATTCCAACTTTGTCAGTACCTAGGACCAATATTGTAAAGTTTGAAGTAATGTCAAGTCAATTGTAATCCTGAAGCATAATGAATACCAATAGTGTCAAGTTTCTAACTCAGAGATTTCCTAGTTGGGAGTTTCCAGTGACCCATGAGATGGGATGATCACTTAAAATTTCCAGATTTCGCCAATCGATGACTGCTAGACATGTGCTTTGTGTGATTTATGCAATAATCACCATTTTATTGCTTATCTTGTGGTTTTTATTTCTTGAAGATATCCAAGATCTCTCTTCCTTTGCTCCCACATACGGGCAAGCAAAAGAAATGAGTTACGAGCACAGTGATGAATATTTGAGGCAACAAGGGGTGAGTTTATTGTGATTATGAAAAGCTACTGTATTCGATTACAAGAAAATAGAGTACTGTGCATCAGACGAAGAAGCAGAAGCATCAGAAGCAAGCTGAATACCTTTAAAACTAAAAATAACTGCATTAGCGATTCCATTTCAGAAACCACCAACCGAGAAACCGTACTCCGATTTCGGGCAACGTTTCATGAACAATCAAAACAAAACGATCGACAAACGGTTGAATATCTTGATGTTGATTGTTGTTCAAGTAACGTTTACATTAGTTTTGAGAATTTTATTTGTTTTCAGCTAATTTTAATGCAAAGTAAGCAGATTTTGGTGGGGAAAAGTTACCGGCAAACCTTTCATCCCCTTTAGAAAGGCACCGATCTAAAGACGTACAGCAATGCGCTCGGTTCGATGAAATGCTATGCGCAAAAGCAAGGATATCATTTTAAAGTGATCGAAGATGCCGAGTATCCGATGTGTCAACAAAAAGATGTGAGTGGAAATCTAGAGTTTTAAAGAAACTGTAAAGTATCTTACACTGAAGCTGGGTAGGCCAGGCGATGAAGTAGAGTCTGGACAAGGTAGGCCAAGCTAGGCCAAGCTAAAGTAAGCAAGGTCAAGCTAGGCCAAGCCTTAAGTAAAGTCACGCCAAGCTAGGCCAAGCTAAAGTAAGCCAGAACCAGCTAGGCCAAGCCAGGTCAAGTTAGGTCAAGCTAGGCCAAGTCTTAAGTAAAATCAGGCCAAGCTAGGCCAAGCTAAAGTAAGCCAGAACAAGCTAGGCTAAGCCAAGTTAAGCTAGGCCAAGTCTTAAGTAAAATCAGGACAAGCTGGGCCAAGCTTGGCCAAGCCGTAACTAAAGTCAGAACAAGCTAGGCCCAGCTAGGCCAATCCTTAAGTAAAGCCAGCTCAAGCTAGACCAAGCTAGGCCAAACTAAAGTAAGCCAAGACAAGCTAGGCCAAGCCTAAACTAAAGCCAGGCCAAGCTAGGCCAAGACTGAAGTAAAGCCAAGCTAAACCCTTCCAAAGCCAAGCCAGGTCAAGCCAGCCAGGCCAAGCAAGATGTCCTTAAAGTCATAAACTATCGTTTGCACACAGTATTTCATAATAACAGTCTATCAATAACATAATAATAACATTCATAATAACAGTTCATGTTCCGCCGGCATTGTGTTGTGCTTCAATTCCTACCCAACTATGACTATATTGTGTTCTTGGATGGAGACATGGCTGTGGTCAATCCGAAAAGGTTAAGCCATTTATAAGTGTAGAATTTGGTGTAGAACTCATCTAGAACTCAACCTCTATTTGGCTCATATACAGGAAGAAATAGATCAAATCTTTTGTTCAGGCTTTTTTCTGTAAACTTTTAGTACACCAGATGGGGTGCGTTTGTGCTTGAGTATCTAAATCTAATCTGAATACGTATTTTCAGGCGTTTCGAGGAGTACATCGACCCAACAGCCGACATCACATTCTATGAACGAATCGACAATTGGGAGTTCGCCGCTGGAAGCTATTTGGCGAAGAATTGCGAGTGGACAAAGGAGTTTTTAAAGTTGTATGTAGAAAGTTCAATATTAAACCAATTTATAAGCTAAAAGCTATTCAGTTAACTCGTAAATCTTTACAGATTTGCCGACTACGAGCAACAGATACCGAAGAGTTTTCATGGAACGGATAATGGAGCTTTGCATGTAGGTTTTAAACGATATTCACAATTGGCTGAGTCAAACGCTATGCGATCCATACCATTTGACGCAGAATTTAATGCTGATTCCCAATATCTCTCCCGTTTTTGCTAAATCACAATCTGTCAAGAGTTATAAGTGTCTAAAGTTTTGGTAGGACTCTGAAAATGTGATCATTTGGGTCTTAGTGGTCTCCTTGCGGACCCCATTCCATGCAGCCATAGCCGAGTGGTACAGCTCTCGTTTCCAAAGCGAGCAAGTTCGATCCCCACTTTGGATTGTTCTTTTGCTTTTTTCACAAGAGGTGCTGACTAGTGTTCTTTGTGCATGCACACAACTTTAGACGCTTATAACCCTTGGCAGATTGCCATTTGCCAAAAACGGGATCGATATTCGGGATCAGGATAAAATTCTGCGTCGAATGGCGTAGGTCGCATAGCATTCGGCTCAGCCAATTGATCTTCCCCTTGTCAGTCTAATCGCTGAAATCTTATTTCCCAGATCTTCATCGCCGAGCTGATGTACCCAGATTTGCACGAGGATTTAAAGGTTTATGTGATCACTTGGTTGATTCGCTTGTTTTAGACAAACTATCGTATTCTGTAGATTGTAGAGCTTACTGTAGGATTACTGTAGGATTACTGTAGGCAGCTAGATTCTACAGTAATCCTTGCTCAAGCTGAATTTCAAAAACACTTCTCTAACTGAATATCTGATCTCAGACCTCTGATCTCTGATCTCTGATAGCTAATCAAAACAGCGCCGTCTACAAACAGCGCCACAGCAAAAATAGCCCCTCCGCGGTTAAGTTTCTATATGTTTTTGATTCTTATTGAATGCAAAATAAAATTATCTACATTTTGCATACTTTGGGGAACAGAATTAGTCTTGAGAAAAGCTCAGTTAAATAGTAGCCTCTTTTTAAACGTTTTTTTTTACATTTCCTCATCTCAGATTTGTTCTAAACGGCTCCAAAATAATCAGCAGATAGCTAATTTTTCTTCTACAGTGCGTTCCAAAAGTTTAGACGGTAGCGCAAAATGGGCGTTTCCGTAAAAAATGCAACTAAATTTTTTGTTATTTTTATCTACATTAATGTAGAATACCGAAAAACTTTTAGCTTGCTGGCTTTGATGAAAATAAAAAAAATATCGACTTTATCGAAAACCGGGTGTTCCAAAAGTTTAGACGGTTTGGAATTTTATCTTTAAAAATTAATTTTTTTCAATACTTTTGGTTCTTTTTCTATACTGAACTTGTGCGTAATGATCTATTTTACAGGAAATGGGCAAGAAGGGAAAGATTTCCGCTCTCGACATTTCACAGATTGAGGCTTACCGTAACACCGGCTGGACCTTCAACAAAATTGCGGAGAAACTTAATCGTTCTGAGCCAGGAGTTCGAAAAGCATTTGGAAGGATGAACAACAAATGTCCCAATAAGAAAATGGGTAGACCCCCAAGTTATCTGAAAGAGATCGACGACGTTTGTCAAATGCTGCTTCGAATTCGCCAAAGACAGCGAAGGAGTTAGCCGCTGAGGGTGGGCTCAACGTTTCAAAACAAACGATTCTGCGAAGTTTGGAAGAAAATCCTAATCTGCAAAGAATGAAGATGATGCCAGCTCCAAAATTAAAGGATATTCACAAAACAGCACGCTTAGACTTCGCTCAACGTGAAATGAATCGAGATTGGACAAAAGTGAGATTTACAACTCTGATTATCTAAACAAAATGAAACTTTAGATCATCTTCAGCGATGAGAAGAAGTGGTGCCTTGACGGACCAGACGGTTATCTGCATTACTGGAGAGATTTACGAAAAGAACCAAAGTATTTTTCAAAGCGCAATTTTGGCGGAGGATCCCTGATGTGCTGGGGAGCTTTTTGTGCACATGGGACCCTTGAGATTTGCTTCACCTCAATGAGAATGGATAGTATCGAATATCAACAAGTTTTATCCCAATCTCTGATTCCATTTCTAACACAAAATCAAGGAAATTCTTTTGTTTTTATGCATGATGGGGCTTCCATTTATCGAAGCGCTTCGACCACCAGCTACCTTCAACAACAAAATGTCCCCGTGTTACCGTGGATCGCATGTTCTCCTGACTGTAACCCCATCGAGAACATTTGGGGATATCTTGTACGAAAGGTTTACAAAACCGGACAACAATACACAACGATCGACTCTTTGAAAGCGGCAATTATTAGAGAATGGGGTCAAATTCCCTCCACGCTGATTCAATCGCTTATCCAAAGTATGCCGAAAAGAATCTTTCAGTTAATTCGCCGCGGAGGCAACGTTATTGATTTTTAAGGTACTTTAAAGCACTTTTGTTAAGTTTTCTTTACTGTTTTTTTTCCGTTACAATAAATCCGTCTAAACTTTTGGAACACCCGGTTTTCGATAAAGTCAATATTTTTTTATTTTCATCAAAGCCAGCAAGCTAAAAGTTTTTCGGTATTCTACATTAATGTAGATAAAAATAACAAAAAATTTAGTTGCATTTTTTACGGAAACGCCCATTTTGCGCCACCGTCTAAACTTTTGGAACGCACTGTACATTCAAGAAACAGAAATAAACTAAACCGAAAGCGCATTATTTTGACTGGCGCTGTTTTTGATCAGCTCTTTGGTGTCACCCGAATTCTAAACACTTTGTTAAAAATCTTTTAGAAATATTTTTTTGCTAATTTTAACTCAGACTTGTTGGTCGGTTTATCGTCAATCAAAAAACTACGACACTCTATTCACCTATGAAGCCTGTGTGCGCAATGTGATGGGATTCCGGAGGAAAATCGAGAATATCAAAATTATGGAAAAGGTAGGGTAAATCTATGAAGCTTTTAATATGCAAATACGATAATCTTTCAAATTTCATTCGGTTTTATAGAGTTGGTTTCAAATTAGCATTTTCAGGGCACTTCTTGGGTTCGGGATATATGGTTGACGGATTCTCGATGGTGTCTAGAGAAAGATTTCATGCTACACGCTCTTCAGCAACAACGACGAATCGGTTTTCAGGAGAAAATACTCGATCGTGCAAAGTCAGTGTTCAGTACAAACTACCGTATTTTCTCTAATAGTAGTGCACCCCGGCGAGCCGAGTCGGTGACTATTTTACGGTTTCCAAGGTTTTCACAGATGCTCAACACTCTAATCCCCCACTAGATCTCATCGTCAGCTACATTTTCCGACCCCACATCGATAGGTTCTCATAAGCGGTTCTCAAGATTTCGATGAATTTAGGCGACGCTCAGGGTTCACTACTATTAGAGAAAATATTTGTAAAAGATTTGAAACAAAAATAATGGCATTTTGATATATCGGAAAAAAACTAAAAAGTGTTGAGTCCAAATTGCCGCGTTCAAAGGCGCTTTATAAAGTGCGCAAACGCTTTAAATGCAAATTTTCACAAGAAAGTCTTGTGTTTTACTTTCAGAGATTTCTTTCTTTTAAATTTTTAAAATTTTTTGAGTTTGTTGAGCTATGAATAATATAGGATGGCGCAAAAGTTCTTGCACTGTTTTTGGGTGATTTTTGGGTGGTTTTAGAAGTCAGCCAATTAATAATTATCAAAACTAACATTGAATTTAGAGAATGTAAGGATATTTAAGGATTTTTATTCGATAAAAGTTTACACAATAAAAATTGAAAGCTAAATGATTTTTGATGAGGATCTTTCAACTTTCAGAAAGGGGGAGAGAGGAGAAAGTAGGACAAAAACTGTCACTATAAATACAGTGACAGAAGGGTAGAAAACGTTTTCTAATGGGGCAGAAATTCAAATCCATTCAAACCCTATCCCAATTCTTTTTAGTATGGGCGCTCGTCACCTTTACTACTATGATCCATTCGAGAAAAATGTTGATTGGACAAAATGTGAAAAAGAGGACTTCAAATGGCCGCTAGATGAGAGATTGATTGTAAGTTTTATACAAGAACAATCACCGACGTCTAAAGGTTTAAACGCACTCTATCTGCTACAGAAAGCTTCCGCATTCCGGAAGCGCACCGATGAGTTCCCCCCTTTCTCCATCACCATCACTTCTTCCTTTCACTTCTCTAGATCTTTTGTTAACGTTCCTACTTTCTTGAGTCATTCTTATCTGATCTGATATTGATCTTGTTCTTTTCTGAGCTTTAAAATTTAATCTATTAGCTTGCTGTGGCAGATGGAATCCGTTTAAACGTCACCACAATGAATGACTGTTTGTTCTTTGTGCTTTGTAATTTAAACGCATCCTTTCTCGTGCACTTTTCATTTTACAGGTTCCCGCCTCGACAATCACGGAAATAATTGAGAAAATAAAACGGGAACGCGAGAAGAAACGCTGGAAATTCAGTGGATACGTAGAGAAATTTATCAAAGCTTAGAAACTGGAAGATTTTATTCGATCTGCAAGAACTTTAAGACTTAATAGAGCAAATTTTAAGCTTAAAATGACTGTCTCTTTCTTGATTTATTATTTTTACATTAAACTGTACTTTCAATTTCATTTTGAAATCATTTTTTTCATGTTTTTTTCGATAAAATCGGGTAATCAAAAGCTTTATTTTTTTTTTGAGAAAATTTTCATTTATTTTTTGATAAATTATATGTAAATTTTTCTCGTAACACTTTATTTTTCAAAAAAAAATAATTAAAAATCAAATAGAAATCTGTGTTTAAAAATGGTTCACCTGGGAGTAGGACAAATGCGACCTTTTTTGCGCACCCGGACGTTTGCGCACCTTTTTTCGCGTTTTAAAAAAGCTCTAAAAAGCATATTGGAATCATATTGGAACCATATTGGAACCGAATCTGAACCATATTGGAACCATATTGGAACCGTATCTGAATCATATTGGAACCGAATCTGAACCATATTGGAACCGAATCTGAACCATATTGGAACCGTATCTGAACCATATTGGACCCATATTGGAACCATATTGGAACCATATTGAAACCATATTGGAACCATATTGGAACCAAATTGGAACCATATTAGAACCATATTAGAACCATATTGGAACCATATTGGAACCATATTGGAACCACATTGGAACCACATTGGAACCGTATCCGAACCGTGTCCGAACCATATTGGAACCGAATCTGAACCATATTGGAACCATATTGACCGACCGACCGTGTCCGAACCATATTGGAACCATATTGGAACCATATTGGAACCATATTGGAACCGTATCCGAACCGTGTCCGAACCATATTGGAACCATATTGGAACCACATTGGAACCACATTGGAACCGTATCCGAACCGTGTCCGAACCATATTGGAACCGAATCTGAACCATATTGGAACCATATTGGAACCGTATCTGAACCATATTGGAACCATATTGAAACCATATTGGAACCATATTGAAACCATATTGGAACCATATTGGAACCAAATTGGAACCATATTGGAACCATATCAGAACCATATTCGAACCATATTGGAACCATATTGGAACCATATTGGAACCATATTGAAACCGTATTGAAACCGTATCTGAAACATATTGGACCCATATTGGAACCATATTGACCATATCAGAGCTTGTGGAAGCGAACGGACGGAGTTATCCAAAGAGAAAAATCAACCATTTTCTGTAATTTTACCTAGCCGTTTTGTCTTTCAAATTGGTTCCACAAGCTCTGATATGCCAAAATTTCGATTCTACGCCCTAAAATTACCTAGAAAAACAACTCTTGGAATAGAAATTGGTTAATATTTGCTTTTAGAGCTTTTTTAAAACGTGAAAAAAGGGGCGCTAATGGGCTAAGTGCGGAAAAAAGGGTGCGCAAATGTCCGGGTGCGCAAAAAAAAGGTCGCATTTGTGCCACTCCCGTTCACCTAAACCAAACGAAGTTTAAAAATCATTAAAAAAGTTTAAAAATCATTAAATAAGTTTAAAAATCATGAAATAAATTTAAAAATCATTAAATAAGTTTCAAAATCACAGAAAAACAATGAAAAAAAATTGAATTTTGACTTAATTTCTGAAAATTTTCCGTAAAATAACCGTTTATCTGGGAAAAACTACCAGTTTTTATAATGGGAATCGTTTTTTTTAACGTAAAATATCGCAAAAATCAATAGATTTTGGTATTTTTAAGAGAAAACTTGATAAATCGACTATTTTTTGACAAAAATTGACTATTTCTTGGTTTAGTCAGAGCTTTTTTACATTATAGTAATCAAAAATTAAACAAGTTCTTAAAGATATGTGAAAAAGAAAGGTTTAGAATGGTGAAAATGAATAAAAGCATAGGAAAATCGATTGAATTTTGCCGGAAAATCGGAAACGCGAAAAATTTAGCGAAACTTTTTCCTCTTCTCCTCCGAATCGACAATGACAATCCCTTTCTTGATCTCTTTTTCAACGAATTCGCTCATTTCTTCGTCGAACTCGTCCTCTTCTTCTAAGTCATCGGAGAAATCGTCAAACTCATCATCATCGTCTTGCATATCGATAATCACATCGTCCTCAATCTCATCCAATTCTGGCATCTCTCCCAACTCTTCACCCGTCTGGAATTCAATTTTTCTTCAACTTTTCAACTTTTGCCCAAAATCTGACTGATTAGCTAAAGTCTGACTCTTTTTTGTCTTCTTTTTGTCTTTTTTTTTAGTTTTTGACACTTCATCGTCTTGTTTAAAGGTTTTACTTGAAATTTAAAAAGCGAGCAGTCCTTGATCCGAATTTGAATCAATGGCCAACTTTTAATCGCCTATAACTTTGCCTAGAGCTAATATTACTCTTAACTTTTGAAATCATTGTATAGAAGATATTTCAGGCTTTTGAATGATATTAAATAGAGCTTGATTGGATTTTCCATTCTCATAAAAACTAAGAAATACTGCGTTCGAGTCGAATCGGCCTTGTTTGCCGGAGTTGGCTTGAATTTCTTTGGACTGGATTACCCAATCCAGATCTATTTGATATCATTTGAAAGCCTAAAATCTCCTCTGTACAATGATATCAAAAATTAAGAATAACATTATCTTTAGACAAAGTTATAGGCCTTTAAAGTATGAGAATCCGTTCAAAATACCCGGATTTTTTAATCTAAAAATATCGGATTTGATTCTCTGCTGCAGGTCACCAAAACCAGCTTTGTTTGCTATCATTTAAAAGCCTGAAATCTCCTCTGTACAATGATATTAAAAGTTAAGAATAATATTATCTCTAGGCAAAGTTATAGATCTTCAAAGTGCAACGATTCCTTCAAAATGCTCGTTCATTAGATTGAGCTTTTTATTTTGTACTTCGTGTTCAATTTTATCTCTTTTTTATTCACTCAATTCAATTCTAAACTTGTTTTATATAGAATTTAATATAAAAGATATCCTTTTTAAGTCTTAAAACTACCGTACCTCAGCCCTGTCTCTAGCTCGTTCCGTTCTAAAGCGAGCTCTTGAGGCAGACGGTCCTGCAGCGTCTCCATCAGAAAGTGTTCTGAAAATCATTTAATTTTATACCATAATAGCTACCTTAACTAGTTATTGTAATGTTTAAGTCAAAGAAGTCATGCATGAACAAAAAAAGAAAGTGTTTCACGACACGCGCCTCACTAAACTCACTCCTTTTCACGGCGCTCTCGCTCGGCCTCCTTTTCAGCTCTACAAAAGCAATAATTTTCTATAATTCTTTACAAAATCTCTACAAAAGTCTATATTTACTGTAGATATTTGATTTTCTTCATTTCTTGAAGCTTTTACCTCCTGGCATCCCGTTGTTTCTGGAAAATACTTTTTCCGGCTTTAGCTTGATGCCGAGTGGACATGTGCCGCGTGAGAACGTCGCGCCGACGCTGAAATTCGTGTCCAGGTTATGATAAATTTAATATGATAAACTTATACTTAAAACTGCTATTATTATCATTAGTTATTGAATTCCGTTCGTTATAAATCTCCCAGCAGAAACCCGCTTAACAACGGATTTTTCTGCCTAACTGTTTGTCCCCGTGACGCAGTCAGCAGCACACTTGTCTACAGCCCAGACGATCCGGGTTCAACCCCCCTAGTGCCCACTTTTTAATTTTAAATGACACAACTATATTAGATTTTAAGATTTGTTAAAAAATTTCAGCTTTCTTGGCCCAAAGACGGCTGAGAAAAAGGTTTTTCGCCACGTGTACCGCGACTCTCAACTTTGTAAGGTCATATAAAGTTTCTAGAAGCACCAATCACTTAGAAAATGAGCTTGGCTACAGGAGAAATACTCAAAAATCATCTCCAGAAATTTCATACAAATTCATTGATTTCTCGCTGAGCTAGACCATCAGAAGTGAGTCGCTAGCATTCGCGGTCATCCTGTATATCTGTACCGGTAACTTACCGTAAATACTGTAATAGTACCCCACCCCCTCGTACAGTCGCGTAGTCGCAAAAGTTTTTTAGTATTTCATTTTTTTCAAAGAGCCCGTACTTTCAAAAAATGCGCGCTTAGGTATCAAAAAATAGCCCTGAATTTCGGGCTATTTTTTGATACCTAAGCGCGCATTGTAGCATAAACCAGTGTCGAGAAAAACTCGTTCAAAGCTAGACTACGCAACACTTCGCACCGTCATTATGGGGGTGAGGTACTATTACAGTATTTACGGTAGTACAGTTGTTAGAGATGACTCTGATGGGCGCAAGAGTTCTTCAAATTTGTTATGCTTTAGCAAATAATCTTCTCGATGCGTAGAAAGCATCGAATTATAGGATTATTTAAATGCAAATTTAAATAGAATTTGTAAATTCCGTGTTCTAGGCTTTATTTCACGTTCTTCTTGAGACTTTTACCCAAAATCCAATCCAATATAGAAATTAGATTCGTTAGTAGAAAGGAGAAACATAACCGTAATTTCCCAATTTCCCTAGGAAACAAATTTCTCAACTCACCGCCGCATATGGGCAAATCGTGCACTGGTAGGGCTTCTCGTCGGTGTGAGTTCGGCGATGTGTGCGCAAGTGATCGGACCTAGGAAAAGCACTTATAATGCTGTATATATAGCACTTATAATTCAGTGTTCTGTCTTTTACCTACCGTAATCCATTAAATACCTACCATAATCCATTTCTATTGTAACTCTTTTCTACCGTACTCATTTTTATGCTAAAGAGGTAAAAAAGTAACTTTGCCAGTGGCAATAATGGCTAGACAGTGGAGGGGCAAAAGGGTAGAAAAGGTCTTTTTTTGGAGAGGCTCCGATGACCTAGTAGTGTATTGGTTAAATGTTCTGGCTCTGGCACGAGGGGTCCCACAACCATCGTGGGTTCGACTCCGGCTTCGGCTTTTCAACCCATTTTCTATCGTAGCTTTTTGTCATAGCTCTTTCTACCGTAATCTTTTTTCTATTGGGGCTATTTTCTACCGTAATCCATTTTCTATTGTAGCTCTTTCTACCATAATCTATTCTCTATCTTAGCTCTTTCTACCGTAATCTATTCTCTATCATAGCTCTTTCTACCATAATCTATTCTCTGTCATAGCTCTTTCTACCGTAATCTATTCTCTATCGTAGCTCTTTCTACCGTAATCCATTTTCTATCATAGCTCTTTCTACCGTAATCTATTCTCTATCATAGCTCTTTCTACCATAATCCATTTTCTCTTCTTCGCTAACTTTGACTAACTGTCTATTGTACATTGTGTGCATTACCTCGAAAACCAGCGCCCACACGAGTCACAACCGAACGGTTTCTCGCCAGTGTGCCTTCGGAGATGTCTAAAGTTTAGAATTTTAGAATTTTAAACTAAATCAACAATCTTCCAGCCATTTTCAAGGTTTTTATTAATTTCTGACCCCCCAGAGAAAATTTTGGCAAATTTCAAAGTTCTCAAAAATTTCTCTGCTCTCATCGCTGTATCAGAATTTTTGGTGAGAGTCACGAGAATGACTTGGGAATTGGTTTTTTTCTATTTTCTGATAAATCTTATCAGTCTTCTGGAAGGGATGGGGGCGTGGGAGTTTTCAGAGTTGCGAGATACGTGTAAACCCACTCAATCACCCACTCAATTTTAGAGTCACGAGGTGGGTCAAACTAGAGAAAAAAAGAGTACTTTCCAGACAAAACTGTCAACTCAAATCGCTTTCTTCGCTCAGTTTAGCTACTTTTTAAGTAAAAAAAATGGTTTAACAAGGATTTTTAGCAAAAATACAACCAAATCTTTGTGTAAAAAGGATCCGGCAAAAATTGATTCCAAAAATTTAGGCATAATTACGCAAAAAACGGCGAAATTGGCTGCATCCGCTTTCCAAAAGAGAAGCGCTTTATACCAAAACGGTTTCCCAGGTCGTGAGCGATTACGCTGGCGCACAAAGAACATCTTCTTTAACTCTTTTACACAAAGATTTCTCTTTTGTAGATGGTTGATATTCAGCTGGGAATTGGTACTCGGGGGTTTTCAGGGCCGGTGAATCGATTAGAAATATTCATTTTATTCAATGCCTTTATCTTTCTCGAGAAACGCCTACCTTGAGAGAATATCAGGCCTTCTGAAGTCTTTCTTGCAAAAGTTGCACCAGTATTGTTTGTTTGGGTCATCGTCATCGATTCCTGGAAAGATTTTTGATATATAAAGACGAGGATATAAAGATGAATATCAAAAAGTCAAACAGTATTTTGAAAATTTTCAAAAACAAACCATTCAATGATGAAAGCGATGGCGATTTCTGTTGATCGCTGTTGAAAGAAAGCGGGCTTTTTGAAGCCTCGGAAACGGATGGAATTGAGGGAATTGATGGGGAAACCTCTGAAATATTGATATTGAAATATGAAAAGATTGGTGTAGCTACGGATTACGGTAGATTACTGTAGCTACCGTAATCAGTAGCCACAGTATTCTTTTTATAGAAAAATGGAGAAATTTAGCCATTCCGGATTTCTGATCGCTTGGGTTTTAACGGCTTTTTGCGGCCCACACCCAACTGCTTCAGTGGCTCAGTGGCTAGCGCTCTCATCTCTCGCTCAAACGATCGGGGTTCAAACCCTTCCTCGACAGCAATCTTTTTAGAGAAAATTAACAAAATTAAGCCAAACCCCGATTTCTGACTGCTTGCCTCTTAACGGGTTTTTACCCGGAAGCCCGGACGGCTTCCGTGTCTCAGTGGCTAGCGCCCTCGCCCCTCACTCAGAGGATCAGGGTTCAACCCCTGCCTCGACAATTTTCTTTTCATTTTTCGTTTTTTAAAACAATTAATCAATAAAATAAGCTACAATAGTCAAGTTTTTGATTACAGTGCTGTTCAGAATTCAACTGAAACGATCAAGGAGGAAAAATGGCCTAAAAATAGACAAAGTTTAGGTTTTCATTAGGATAACGGCAGCTAAAAGGCCTAAAAAGCGCCAGAAAAGATGCGTTTACAAATTTAAACATAAAGTATCGCTCGCTTACGTAGAAAAGCCGTATTTGGTGAGGTAGTGGTGAGTGGAGAAGAAAGTGATGGCGAAAGAAGAGAACGACGAGGAGCAGCTGCGTACAGAGAGCCCCAGAGAGACTGAAAGTTTTGGATTTGAAAAGAGATTTCTGAAAGGCAATCAAACTACTTTACTAAACTTCATAAAACATCAAACTTGAATTATTCTTGAGTAGCTTTGATACTTAGCAGCAATTTGAAGTGCACTAACCGACGCTTGTCCAGCGGCAGCAACAACTTGAGCGGCTTGTGCTTGCTGGGCTTGCTGGGCTTGCTGGGCTTGCTGAACAGCTTGCTGAGCAGCCAGAAAACTTTCTGGAGTCACATTTAGATTGCTTAAACGGGGAGACACCGGCAGTGACTCGCTTCGACCGACGATCAACTAAAAGTTGACTTTGAACTTTGTTCATCAATTCTTTCATCAATTCTTCATACTACTTAGCTCTAGATTTATGTTTCTCTTATTTTAAACGAAACTATGAAATGGAATAAAAATCCTGAAAAAAGACTTTCTGGACCTTCCTGACCAGCCAGGACCAGCCAGGACATCCGCCATCCCACTTTGACCTTGAATTTCTTGCCGCACAATTGTCCAATTGAAACAATTTTAGTATCAATCGACAGAAAAAGACTTGACGAGTTTAATGACACCAAAATTGTTTCAATCGGACAATTTGAGACCAAGAAATTTGAGGTTAAAGTTGGATGGTCACCTATTCCGGATTTCAAATTTCAAGTCAAATCTAGTTCCAAATGGCAAGCCGAATCATGTATGGGATCCGGCACAGACCAAGAACATCCAGCTCAATCACTTCTTGCTCAATTTTAGAGCCCTGAACTAAAGCCAGCTACTGTAACCAACCGACGACTTGCTAAGCGACTTGCTAGGCGGCTTGCTGAACGGCTTGCTGAGCAGCTTGCTAAGCAGCTTGCTAAGCTTCTTGCTAAGCAGCTTGCTGAACGGCTTGCTAAGCAACTTGCTGAGCGGCTTGCTAAGCGACTTGTTGAGCGGCTTGCTAAGCGATCTGCTAAGCGGCTTGCTAAGCAGCTTGCTAAGCGACTTGCTAAGCGTCTTTCTTTTAACTTTCAAAATCCTACATGTGGTGGTTGCACTAATGTCTCTCTTGTGCTTTGAATCACTGAGGTTTTTCTTTCAAGTGGTGGATGAGTGCCCAAAGTGATCGATGGGCTTGAGATCTGGGAGACGGTGAGTGGCGATGGAGGGACAGGAGACTCGCCACGCACTTTGCTCAACACCTAAAGCACGAGTTGAGTATCACAACTTTAGCAATCACTTAGCAATCCCTTTAAACCACTTTCACCTCACTCAATCGATTCGGATCCCGCTTGCAATTGCCAGGCAAATCGAAAGCGCTCGTTGTGTCGCAAGTTGGCGCCGACTTTCGTTGCTCCAACACTGAATTTTATGTTTTAAAGTGGCCACCACTTTACTAATGACGATTATTTTTTGTGTCAAGCTTTTTCAGAAGTTTTGTTATTTATTTCGCAGAAAGTTCTGGTACTTTACACAGAAATTTAGCTTTTTAGCAAAGCAAACTTTCTAGCTTTTCTTGAGTACTTACAAGGTCGTTTATTGAGCAAATGATCAAAAGTGAAGCGGCTCGCCGAGCGATTTGTGTGACTCGGCGTTGGAGTTGAAAAGGCTGAGTCGTAGATCTGAAAAAGCACTGGAAATTGCATTGAAAAGTTCGATAATGCGCAAATCATAGATTTAGAATTCGATAATAAGAGATAAATCGATTCTAATTTGAACCTGTAACGGTGAGAGACCAGGCGGCGAGATGGCGACATGCGGAGAGATGGTGCTGTTCGCTGATTGATGATCTACAAAAAAAATGATTTCATTAGTGATCTGCATTTTCTAAAACGTGCTCTTTCTCTTAAACTACCGTAATCTTGTCTTATTTTTATCCAAATCTATTAACTTTATATGTTTTTATTTGCTTTATCAAAAAAAAATCAAAAAATTGACAAAAATTAGAAAAGGATCAGATAAAATCAAATAAAATCAACTAAAATTGATAAAAATTAAAGAAAATTAAGAAAAAGGAAACGTTTTAGAGAATAGCTTTGATCCATAGTGATCTACGAATTGAAATTCGAATTCGAAATTCAATTTAACTCAGTGCAATAGATCTAAAAGTTTGCATGATCCAAAAACGTTAAAAAGCTGATTCGTCAAGCTTTTTTGAGTCTAATTTACAAAAGAAAATTGAAAATATTAAACTCACGCAGAAAAGCGGCACCTGGTGGACTCTGCAAGCCGATTCCTGAGTCCGATGACGAGCTCGATGTGCGCTCGTGTCGATAAACGAACCATCGATCCAGCATCGATGTTGAAGCGGCTCGAGAATGCTCTGTCTGCAATCGAATCACTTTAAATTCTATAGAACTCTTAGAATTCTTGAAATTCATTGAAATTCACTTGAAATTCATTGAAATTCACTTGAAATTCATTGAAATTCATTGAAATTCACTTGAAATTCACTTGAAATTCATTGGAATTTCAATAGAACTCTTTAAATAATAGATAGAAATTGTAGCTTAATGATATCGAAAAGCGTAGCTAACTCTACATCCAAAAAGTCACTTTCAAGTCCTACAACTTTCAAGGGAAACACTCATCAAATCTACCGTATTTATAAGCTCAAACTAATCTTTTCAAAAGTGTTTATCTCCAGGAAATGATAGAAAACATATGATCAAATTTGATATGATGCGAAAAACGCAAAATCCGACCAATTAAAAGCCGTAATCTGAAGATTTTTCTTTCATTTTTCTCACAAATCCCCATTTTTCTTTCATTTTTCTTTCATTTTTTCTTGTTATTCTCAAAAAACTTTTTTAATGCGCCTACACCCGGGTAATCCGGGAATTATTGCAAAAATGTTTGAGTAATCTGCCGATATTTCCTAGTTCAACAGCTTTGAATTGGTGAAACTTCTGGAAAATTGTGAAGTACGGGAATTGAAGTGATAAGTCCAGTTTAGTGATTACAGATTCAAATTCAAAGCTTTCTTCAGTAGTTACGAGAAAATGAACCCCAACAATCGATTTCCTAACCCCAAAACCCTGGGTACAAAAACAAAGAGCAAAATTATGGCTCTTAAAATCTACTTCGAGACCTGGCCCTGGTTCTGGCTCCGGACCTAGCTCTGGTCTTGACCCTAGTCTTGGCCCTGGCCTTGGCTCTGGCTCTGGCCCTGGTTCTAGCTCCGGTCCTAGCTCTGGTTCTGGCTCTGGTCCTGGCCCTCGCCTTGACCCTAGTCTTGGCTCTGGCCCTGGTTCTGGCCCTGGTCCTGGCTCTGGTTATAGACTTAGACCCTCTAAACATTGACCCATGAGCCTTGACCTGACCCTGGCGCTGACCCTGATGGGCCCATACCTGGATTTGCCCCTTGAACGGGACTTGGGCCTAACTCTGACTCTGATCCCAACCTAGAGCTGGCCCTAGACCAATTCGGTCCTGGTCATGGCTTTGAGTCTATCTTGGCTCTGGGCTTGACTCTGACCATGAGGCTGCTCCTGTCTCTAGACAAAGACTTTGCCCTAGACCTAGTAACCCTGGACCTAAACCTGAGTCTGACCTTGGCGCTGGAGCCATACCTTGGACCTAAACCTGGAACTAGACCTAACTCTGACCCTTGTTCAGCCTGGACTTGCTCCTGGAGCTGGAGTTGGAGTTGGAGTTGGAGTTGGACCTAAAACAGCCAAACCCTGGTTCAGGCTAGACTAGGCATTTGGCCTTTGCCTGTCGTGATTTCCAGTATTTGGATGATCCTAGCTACTCACAAAAGCCTCAATTCCTCCTCGAGTCTAGTTCATTTGCCCAATGATGAAACGATAATCCACAAAATTCCCAATTTCCCCATCTTCTAGAAAACATTTCTTGCAAATCTCGGATCAGCTTTTGCGCCTACACTCTCTAATCCGCGTCTCATGAAAAAATTGAATTAAAAAACATTGTTCAAACATTTTTTGTCAAATCTATAGAGAAAGTTAAGCCCATTTACAAGAAATTTGGCTAGTAAACAATCGTTTTTCTCGATGACACGATAAGTTCCCGATAATCCCCCTAAGAAAACGACATATTATATTTACATTTAGAGATTCTTTTATTCAAAAGATTTTAGGGATTAGATTTTTGAAAGAATTTTTGTAGCTAGGAGGTTACGAAAGTTACTACAACTTTTGGGAAAGTTAAAGAAGAGCTTTTGTCTGAATAATATTTGAATAAGATTTCCAGTAAAGAACTAGAAATGTAGGTAAAGACTCAAAATTGTCAACATCAACTAGAATACTTGCTAAAGTGACTATGGACTAGGGTAAGTCTAACAGGAAGGCAGGCAAGTTCAGCTTTAGGTTTAGGCAATGAGCTAGGGCTAGGGCCAAGCCTAGGACCAAGCCTAGGACCAAGCCTAGAGCCAAGCCTAGGGCCAAGCTTAGAGCCAAATCTAGAGCCAAGCCTAGGGCCAAGCCAAGAGCCAAGCCTAGAGCCAAGCCAAGAGTCAAGCCTAGAGCCATGCCTAGAGCCAAGCCAAGAGTCAAGCCTAGAGCCAAGCCTAGAGCCAAAAGAGAGCTCCTAAGCCTAGAGTCAAGCCTAGAGCCAAGCCTAGAGCCAAGCTTAGAGCCAAGTCTAGAGCCAAGCCAAGAGCCAAGCCTAGAGCCAAAAGAGAGCTCCTAAACCAAGCTTGATCAAGCCAAGACACGCTAGAATCATCTTAAACACTTTATTTGAACATTTCTTTCACTAGTACTCTCAAAACCAGACCAAAAACCATTAGAATTCGTTTTCTAATCACAAATTTGTTCAGACAATGCCACGCTTTTTCCAATTTTTTCTACTTTATGACTATTGAAAAAGTTTCTCAAAGCAAAAAATGACGAAAAATTTGAGTGAATGGAAAAGTGAGGGGGAGGATCAGAATTCTGATCTGGACTAATCCGAAAAAAAGGGAAATCCTGGAAATTTGAGAGCGATATCCACGCAGTGTTTACAAGTAATCAGAAATTTTTTTTGTTCGCCTATTTACTTAGCCATAAAAAGTGTGCTTTGACGAGATGGGAAACTACGAATGAGATCAGAATTGAACCTCGATCACACTAAATCTTAATTCAATACATTCACAGAATCAAAGCTCGACAAAAAATTAACACAACGTAAAGTTATCCGGTTGAAAACCGTTTGAAATGCAAGAGTTTTAAAGATAGATGTTCAGAAACAGTACGAGAGGGATTTGAACCAGCGATCTCTCGCTTACTGGGCCAACGATCTACCAATAAGCTACACCAACACGTATCCATCCATTGAGAGATAAGGAACCAAATTTGCAGCGATAGAGCTAGAATAGAGCCTCTAACTTAATGATTAACTTAAAAACACAAAAAATCCAGTTCTTGTCACAGTTTTGGATTTATTAGCATTCGCATTCTATAGTTTTCTCTGAATCTCTCTGAATTTTTAGTTTTTAGTCCTTTTCTCAAAAACTAATAGATAAATTTTAAAATATCATTCGATAGCATAGTTTTTTACGCATTTTTTGACGTATAAACCATTGCAAATGGTTTATTGGATGACGAGAAAATTTAGAAAGTGTAAAGAGGGAGAGTGCTTCCCTAAAGTGTTCCCCTAGGTTTCAATTGAAATATTCTAGGATTCCTTCGAGCAATCTATTCTCCAATTTAAAAACATTAAAACTAGAATTAAATGCGTATATTTTGCAAAAAAAAAGTAATTAAAAATAGTAAAAGGAAGTCGAGATATGGGGATGAGAAAAAAGAAGGACACTTTCAAAAAGTGTCCCTTTTTTCTTCTTACCCTCATATCTCGGCTAAATTTTGGTCTTTTCAATTACTTTTTTTTGTAAAATATACGCAAACGCTTTTGTTTTCTAAAAAATAAACTTCAAAGCCAGGTTTTCCCAGCTTAGCCTTAAAAAGGAGCTCGTTTATCCAACTATAAACAAACCTACCATCAGTAAAAGAGCACAAGAAAATACAGAGTTGATTCTAGTTGATTCTAGAGTTAATTCTAGTTGATGCTAGAGTTGATTCTAGTTGATTCTAGAGCTGATTTTAGTTGATTCTAGAGTTAATTCTAGTTGATTCTAGAGTTAATTCTAGTTAATTCTAGAGTCTATTCTAGTTAATTCTAGAGTTAATTCTAGTTGATTCTAGAGTCTATTCTAGTTAATTCTAGAGTTGATTCTATTTGATTCTAGAGTTGATTCTAGTTAGACAATTGGTTACAATGCCTTTTAGAATGAAAGAGAACCGAAAGAAATCAAATCAAATCAAATCAACTATAATGCAACTAGAGATAAAATCTACGGATTCTCCAGTGAATATCTCATTTTTAATCAATTGGATAGATGCCAACCCTCAAATATAAGAAATGTTTAAAAGTAAAGCTATAATTCAACAAAACCCCGAATCGACGGTTTCTCGAATGGCTTTTACATCATAAACGAATTTGATCTATATCAATCTATTTAAGGTCTATTTAAGAACATCTAGATAGCTCAGAAAAAGCTGCAACAATTTGTAAACTTTGCGACATTTTGTGATTTATTTATATTTAAACTCCTAGTGGCTCCGCCTACCTCATTTTTCTTTTTTTTCTTTTCTCATTCTCATGTCATAACAACACTCAACTCCTTAATCCGATAAACGAATTCAATTATTTTTTTTCCCCTTTTTTTTGTTCAAATATGATCTCGTGAACTCGTTTTTCTTGAAAATTCTCTTAGATCACAGGTGAAAATTGTGGGGTTTCAACGGATTATTTACACAATCAACTTGAAATTCATTTCCCGGATTACGGTATTTTTTTTTCCAAATTCTTGATTACTCACTAGAAAAAATACTTGATTTTCCGGCTTACGAAAGGTCTTAAAAGATGATTTCTGAAATGAAAACTTTCAAAATTTATCTATGAGCGGCTTATTTAGATTTTTTTTATATGAGAATTTCCTGTGAGCAAGAGGAAATGATGCTTTCATTGAATAAACAGTGAAATCAATGAGGAAATTGGTATTTTGAACGACTCGTTATGCTTTGAAGGCTTATAACTTTGTCCAGAGATAATCTTATGCTTAACTTTTAATATCATTGTACAGAAGACATTTCAGGCTTTCAAATGATACTAAATAGATCTGGATTGGGTAATCCAGTCCAAAGAAATCCAAGCCAACTCCGGCAAACAAAGCCGATTCGACTCGAATACAGTATTTCTTAGTTTTTATGAGAATGGAAAATCCAATCAAGCTCTATTTAATATCATTCAAAAACCTGAAATATCATCTATACAATGATATAAAAAGTTAAGAGTA